GAGTTACTGAGGCCTCTGGAGTTTGTAGTGGAGTGTGAGCAGCGGCAGCTCCAAGACCAAGGAGCTCTAGGTGGCTCCAAGGCCAAGCAGCACTGAGGGTCTGTGAAGCTGCAAACAGGGGACCTGCCTTGAGGACCTACAAGGCTAGAATGCTAGGCCACTCCCATCATGGGCCTCAGGGCATACGACCCTGGTAAGGAACACCGGCTTGCACCTCTGTCCTAGCCCGGGGCAACCAGCCTGGACCAGGTCCGCCCAGCGACTCTGCTCAGCCACGCCTCCAAGCAAGGTTGAGCACATGTTCTTATGGTTAAACAACTTTGTATTTAGGCCCAAAAGGGGTATTGCTAAGTTTTGAGGTAGTTATTTGCCTAATTTTAAAAAATAGACATAATGGGGGGTCCCTCAATGCTGGGGAGACTCTCACTCGGGTCTAGGGATGGCGCAGGCCCCCCACATGGCTCGCCAAAGACCATCCTTGCTGAGGTTGAGCACATGGCCTTGGTTGGGGGGGGGAGTTTGACCCCGAGTGACCATGACCGGGAGAAAGAATTTTTGAGAAAAGAGGCCACAGCCCAATGGTCCAGGAGGGTCATAAATTCCAAAAATCCAGTGTTGGTCGCAGGAGGACAGCTCCTTGCCTCGGGACCACTCCCAAGGTCATAATCAGCTAGTTCCTAAAACAGTAACAGTAGTACCTGCAGGGGGAAACTCCCTGTTTCTCAAGATTATTCTCAAGATATGGTCTGGCTTTCTCTTGGGCTAGTTCCTAAAATTAGTGATGATCTCAATGGGGAGGCTCCCTGTTTCTCCTGATTGTTATCAGGATTGTAGTCTGGTTTTGTCTTCAGATAGTTCCTGGTTCAGGGTCGCTGAACAGGCTGGCCCTGGATTTTTGATTTTTCTCTTCCTTCTGAAGGAGTCTGGTTTATCCAAGTTATTCAATACTATGTGTGACCCAAAGGTGACTGTCGGTTTACACTTCCAGCAATGGAGTTTTTTCCCTACCCACATTTTCTTAGGCATAGGTTGTTAGCAATAATTTTTAATCTTGGTCATTTCTACAAGGATAAGATAAAATCTCAGAGTTTTGGTTTGCATTTCTCTGAGGGCTAAAGGATGTTATATTTAAACATTTTTTAAGTGTCTCTCAGTCATTTTTAAGTTCGTCTATTGAGAGTTTTCAGTTTAGGTCTGTAACAAATATTTTTATTGGATTAATTTTTAATAACTAATTTCCTGAGTTCTTCATATATTTTTGGAATGGATTTATGATAAGTAAAGATCTTTTCCCACTCTATAATCTTATACAAAAGGTTCTCAATTCAGGAGATCTAATTTATGGTTTCTCACAATGTTTGTGCCACTGAGGCTGTATTTGAGATGTGGCACAATGTGCTACAAAAATTTTTTTTCTGTAAGGTTCAACATAATTTTTATATGCTGAGGCCTTTGGCTCATTTAAACTTAAGTTTTGTACATGGAGATGGATAGGGATGTAGATTTATTTTCATTTTTCTACATGTTGGTGTCTAATGAGACCAGCATTATTAGTTAAAAAATGCTTCCTTTTTCCATTTTCCTATCTGCAAGGCAAACTCAAGAGGAGGATAGCTTACAAACTTATGTTGGGGTCAATCCTAGAGGGCTACAACCTAATGCGTTGTGGCAAATGGATGTTACCCATGTGCCTAAATTTGGCAAATTAAAATATTTGCATGTATCAGTGGATACCTTTTCTGGCATTATTCATGCCACGCCCCTAGCAGGAGAAAAGGTGACTCAAGTAAAAACACATTGCCTTGAGGCCTGGGCTGCCTGGGGAAAACCCCTACACCTTAAGACAGACAATGGCCCGGCATATACCTCCCATGGATTTCGTGCCTTTTGTGCACAGCTCCAGGTGACCCACATTATGGGCCTTCCATACAATCCACAAGGACAAGGTATTGTGGAGAGAGCTAACAGAAGTATTAAAGAAATTCTGCAAAAACAAAAAGGGGGAATAGCTGAATCCGCTTCCCCCAGGGAAAGAATCTCCCTTGCGCTCTTCACACTTAATTTTTTAAACCTGAATGAGTCGGGTACTGCAGCAGCTGAAAAGCATGCAGCAGGCCCTAAGGAAAAAAAGGAATATGTGATGTGGAAAGATGTATTGGATAACAAATGGTATGGACCGGATCTTGTGGTGGCAAGATCCAGGAGAGCTGTATGTGTTTTTCCACAGGGCCAAGAAGCTCTGCTTTGGGTTCCGAGCCAGCTGAGACGCATGATCAAGGAAGTTCCTAAGGATGAGGCTGAATCTCTGGAAGAAGATCCTGCTGACATCCCTGATGATGTGGATCCAGGGGAAGGCGGAGCACAGATGGGGAATCCTGTCAGCCTTCCCAAAGGCGATGCCTGTTCAGCATGATGCCACGGTTTTCCCCAGATTTTTACCACCAATAGAGACCTTGATTTACCATTTTTAATGTATGATTCTGAAGTAGCCCCTTTAGGAGAAGCACATAACATTACAGAGAAAGGGTCCCTGTGCTTTCAATAAGGAGTGAGTGGGCGTGGGCATGTTTTTGGCAAGCTGCCTGGGTGGCTATGTGTTGTGCCTGTGGTTGGTCTGCCGCCTTCATGCCCAAACCAAGAGGGACAAAGTAATTATCTCCCAAACATTGGCTGCCCTGGAGTGTGGCTCCTCCCCCCAGATATGGCTATCGGCACTAAGAGAAGCTTAGGGCTTCCATCATGCACAGCCTATGCACCCCATGGGATCTGTTGATCCATTGCACTTGGGTAGGTGTGCGGATGTAGGTTCCTGCGACACAGCCTTTACACCCCCAGGGTTCCTTGAATACCCATTGCACAGGGGAAGGTGTGTCCTTGGGCCTATCCTGTCGCAGTCTAGTGTCAGCTGATGGTAGCAGCCAATCACAGGGCGACACGTGTGCCTACTCCCTATATAAGCAGCTGCTTTAGTGCTCTCGGGGCCCCTCGCTTCCTGCTCTCCCTCAACCAAGGGCACTCCATTAAAGCGTGATCTGAGAAGAATCCTCGTGTGGTGGTGGTTCTTTCTCACTGGTCGAGAAGTTCGCCGCAGAGAAGTGCTTCATAATGCATCATTCCAAAATTGGATCCCACCATTCTAGGGTCCCCCTCAAGAATGCCTAAATCGAGTATGTGGTGTTGGGAATATGTCCTGGCCCAAAGCCAGTTTGCCAGCTTCTTTTATTAGCATAGCTGTAGTGACCAATAGTGACCAACAGACAGAAACAGGATCAAGTCTGTTAGATAGAGAAGCCACTTGCCTCTTCCAGGGTCCCAATTCCTATGCTATGATGCCTCCCTTATTTGAAACCATTTACATAGGAGGGAATTCTCTTGTCTCCTCTTCCTTTCCTGATTTCTCCAGCTTCCCCCCTGGGATCTCTTCTACAGATCTCCCTGAGGGGTGCCACCACTACTCAGTTGAATCTTTTGTTTGGCATTTTTCCCCACATAATCATAGTTATTTCTAACCCTTTAAGTGATCTTCAATAATTTGGCCTAATCGTACCTAACTTCAGGAGTTTCTTTCTAGTACCCGGGGCTGAGTGCACAACAAAACCAATACTATAGCTGGCTGCATTTCTTGTCTTTCTGTGTCTATGGGAGTGGATGTCAGGTGAGGCTCACAGAAGCGCCTTGGGACCCTGTGGTGATTCCTGGGGCTCTTGTGTTACCTCTCTCACCTGGACACACTGGTAACTTTTCTGGCAGCATCCTTCAATCCTTGTATAAAGGACCTGGGAAAAGTGCTCAAAGCCTCCTGACCTTGGGCAGTATTGGAATTTGAGTCAGCTCAGGAAGAAAAGAAGAGAACCCACTCTAAGAGGGTTGGCTGTCTGGCAGTAATCCTCTGCCTGGCCCAAAGGTGGTTTTTCTACTCCCATGCCCGGGTCTGTCCCTTCTGCAATGAAGAGGGTGACAAGGAGCTGTTGGCTGTCATTCCAGGTCACTGCTGGGCATAAAAACTGTCTCTAGGAGACTAAAGAGGACTTGAGGTTTTTCAGGGGATGGTGGATTTGGAATCTTCCAATTCTACAGATCGCTGCTTGAAAAGGAGACGTGAATGTTGAAAAGCAGAGAGGGGAGAGCCCTCGACTCTGGGGACACCAAGGGGTGCTCCCTTAGAGGTAGGATGAGGACTGCCTCTGCCCCAGGGAAATTCCTCCTGGAGCCCCCATAGCTAGAGCCACTCTGCCTCTGTGGAAGGGGGTGGGGGCCCAAGTAGAAGATACTACCACTTCCCCAGACCTAGTATGATCAGAGAACTGTTTTCCCCTCCCCATGCATGGCCAAGGCCTGTGCTGGGCACACAAAGAGGGAAGTCAGTTTTCTCCAGTGAGGCTGTGGAACTGAGAGAACAGGCAGAGGTTTTGGGTTTCTCTGGTGACCTAGCAGAGACAAAAGGTTTAAATGCAGGCCACCAGTAATAATCACTGGGTATGTCGTGCAAAGGACGGTAGGGATACAAACCTGGCTCTGGCTTTGAGATGAGTGGCTTAAAGCAGGATGTCATGCTAAACTTCTCATAGAGATTGAGCCAACCTGCACCTGCCTGGGATCTGGGAAGACATTTAGGTCAACTCCCCATGTAGAGTCACTGAGGAGGTGACCTGCTCAGAGCTATGGTATCAGTAGCAGGGCAAAGGGCAACTTCTGTTTGTGCGCTGAGATTTCTCCACCTGAGCACTCACCTACCCCTGTGTCTCTGTGAGAAGATGGTGGGAGAAGGAGGTGAGCCTACCACACACAAGCCTAGGGAACAGAGGCGACAGTCCCTGCTCAGCCTTCACCGCACAAACAGCGCACATGATAAAGAAAACTGCTGGCAACAACTCCATTTTATTTCTTATTTCGAATTGGGTATTTGAGTTGACTGATTGTACCCTGGGGTTAACTGATTGGACAGTTTGCTCTCTCGATTGGACAAGCTGGGGGTATTACCTCTGCCTCCATGTCCCCTTTCAGAGCAGAGAGGGGCTAGAACACTCAGATGCTGTGAGAGCAGATCCTGCAGAACACAAAAGGAACTTAGATGACAAGGAGAGTCCTGCAGCTCCTGCGGAAGAAACAAAGGAAAAAACTGTGGGATGGGATGAAACTGTGAGTCACAGAGGGTCATAGTTACCAGGTCATTCAGGATGGCACGAAGTACTGAATCTCCACAGAATCCTCCTTATTTCCAAATTCTGAGGATCAGTGTGTAGCACAGTTACTTTACAAAGAATGTCTCAATGCTGAAACTCCAGGGAATGCCAATCCATCTGGATAACATCCCCTTTGTAGGGAAGAAGGTTGGACCAAGGTGGAGCTTTGAAACTCAGACAAGCTGGTCAGGGATCCTTTCCTCCCTCCTCTACTTCCCCTGCTAAAACCATGAAAGAAGATAAAGCAAGAAGTGAGAAGCTGGACTGTGTCTTGCCCTCCCTCTAGTCCTCCTGCCATGACACTTACCTGATGTGAGATTTCCTTCTGAATTCTGTGAATATAATTGGTTAATGAATAAAGACTCTACATTATCCTGTGGGCATAGTAGAGCTAGGCAGGGAAAACTAAACTGAATTCTGGGAGAAAGAAGGCAGAGTCAGAGGCTCCATGCAACTGCTGCTGGGAACAGATGAGCCTGAACCTTGCTGGTAAGCCACAGACATGTGGTGGTACATAGATTGATAAAAATGGGTTAAATTAAGAGGTAAGAGCTAGCCAATAAAAAGCTAGAGCTAATGGACCAAGCAGTGATTTAATTAATACAGTTTCTGTGTGGTTATTTGGGGGCTGAACAGCCAGGAATAAACAAGCAGTCTCATACAACAAATTGGCACCCAATGTGTGCTAGCTAAATTCACATGAAACCTAGAGGGCTTGGAAAGGTATTCTAGAAACAAAAAAAAAAAAAACAAAGTTTAGCCACATTTTTTTTTTTTTACCGGATGTGCTCTGCTTGCTGGCGGCATGCAGCAGCTCCTTTAAAAGAGGTCTTCCTGATTCAGTGGTGAGCAATAAAAAAAAAAAAAAAGAAAGAAAGAAAAATCAAACCCACACGATTTCAAAATGACAGCACAAACTGCGTTGGCTCTTTTAGGAGGCCGAGTACTTGAATGGCGTTTGTGGGCACAGATGCTTGTGTGCCCACTCAGAGTTGGGTAGAAAGTAGCTGAGACCATGCCCATAGCTCAGGGCTCCCTGCCTAGGCAGGTGACGGGATCAGGTCTACTAGGCTTGCACAAGCAGGAGAGCAGGAGAGATTCCTGCTGTTACTGTACACAGAGATATTTCCAGGCCATGCCTTGTGCTGCATGGGAGATTTAGCTATTACTCAGATAAAAGGGGTTTATGTGCTGCAACCCTCTTCTCAGAATTAAAGTGGTGAGCACAGCTCCTACCTGGCGGTCCCAGAGCTGGTGGTAATGGTAAGTCTGCCATTTTAAAAAGCAGAGAGAAGCAGAGTCAGAACCCAGGTTTTTTGTGCCCAAGCTGCTTACTATTTTAAAAGCTCTCTAGGACAGAAAAGGATTACAAATACACAATAGGACAGATTCAGACATAAAAGAATTCTAAATGAGACACGGTGTTGGGTAAATGTACATAGGCTTGGGAGAGAGAAGAAAAAGAGTAAAGAGACAGTAAATGTAATATAAAAGAGTACAGACAGTCATAAAGATAATAAAATAAATATGAAACTTGCAGAAAAAGTAATAGTGTAAGAAAAATAAGTCACGTAAAGATGGAATATACATAAGAGAGACTGGATTATGTATATTATTGTGTTTTCTTTGAAATTTTGTGACTGTGAAGGAGCTAAGTGCAGAGAGAATTTTTTATTGTATGAGCTGCTAAGATAAACTAGCATGTATATTATAAAGGTATTTTGACTTCAGAATTTGGGTCTAAGGATTTGTTGCTTTGTAAAAGAGGTTCTTGTTTTGTTTCCACAGAGGATGAGAACCTGTGGATTCATTCCAGGCTAATGTAGTTTGATGGACCAAGATCCCCCAAAAGGTTGCTGTGAACCCCCCCAAAAATTACTTCGCTCAACAAAAAACAGGAAGAAGTTTGGAGAGAATTATGCCTAAATTCCCAAATATTGTTTATAGATGTTTGTTTATATTTAAAGGGGGATATTCTATTATATTCTATAACAAAGGGGATATTATATAGAATATATTATATATGACAATATATAATATATATATTATATATATTTCTGCTCTTGATTAAAGTGTTGTGTTTGTGCAGCTCATTTAAAAATGTAATGTATAATTAAGAAACATAGGTTAATTGACATTCATCTATAATAGTCAAGTTTGTAGTCATGTTTGTTAGGTTTTCTAGATATACAGAGATATATTTCAGTTAGATAGGTATTCTCCAAATCTTTCAGAGACCTTCAGAATATGGCATTTAAAATGCTTAAGAACTTAGTACTTTTCATGAAAGTAAGACACATCTGATCCTGGCAGCACCAAATACTTCAAGAGGAAGATGGGCATCAAAGAGGCTCCTTATGAAGTTTGTTAGCCTTTTGAGCAAGAAACTGTTCTTGCCTGGACTGCTTGATGCTATGCTATATGAACCAGACATGCAGGACCCACAGAGAAAAGACTGCTGACCTAGCCTAAAGGTGACATGGACCTTCGAGGTTCCTGCTACATGAAAGAATCTACAGACATTCTGCAGGACACAGAAAAAAGTGACTGACAAACTGCCAATACAGGCGGAACTGTCCTGAAATTTCCTGCTTTATAGAAAAGTCTGCCAGACACTATGGGACTGTAGGCTAAAGATTGGATGCCACAACGTTACAGAAGAACTTTGGGTGACTGTCCAGGCAGCAAGATGTCTCTGTCAATTCTAGCGTGGTGTGGGAGGTCCTTCTGTCTATGTGTTGCTTTTATTGGTTAATGAATAAAGAACTGCTTTGAGCCTATGGCAGGGAAGAACAGAACTAGGCAGGGAAAGCTAAGCTATATGCTGGAAGAAAGAAGAGCAGAGTTAGAGAGAGGCCATGGACCCCATCAGAAACAGATGCCAGAACTTTAGCTGGTAAACCACATGGCAATACACAGATTAATAGAAATGGGTTAAATTAATATGTAAGAGTCAGCCAATGAGAAGATAGAGCTGTGGGCCAAGCAGTGATTTAATTAATATGGTTTCCGTGTGATCATTTAGGTTCTGGGTGACCAGGACGAATAAGCGGCTTACTACTACACTAGAGTTTTAGAAGTCACTTACAATGTACTTCCTGTTTAGTTAAGTAATATTATATCCTTCTGGAGTCTTTGATGGAGTTGAAGAATAGATAGTTATAGTTACAGTTTTCCTTAGCTATGATAAAAGATAAAGTAGATATGAATATTGTAACTGTAATCTTGTTTAATACCTGTTTTTTATATGTAATTTTACTATGTTAAAATTAAAACTTTCTTTTTTTATTTAAACAGAAAAGGGGAAATGGTGTGGGAGGTCCTTCTGTCTGTGTGTTGCTTTTATTGGTTAATGAATAGAGAAACTGCTTTGGCCTATAGCAAGGCAGAACTTAGCTAGGTGGAGAAAACTAAACTAAGTGCTGGGAGATAGAAGGTGGAGTCAGTGAGAAGCCATGTAGCCCTGCCAGAGACAGATGCTGGAACTTTACCTGGTAAGCCACAGCCTCATGGTGTTACACAGATAAATGAAGATGGGTTAATTTAAGATATGAGTTAGTCAGAAATACGCTTAAGCTATTGGCCCAAAAGTATTGCAAATAATATAGTTTCTGTGTGATTATTTTGGGACTGAGCAGCTGGGAACAAACAAGCAACATCACACTACACTTACCCACTGACTGCAGAGTGGCCACCAGGCTACCAGCCGCAACTCTACCCCCATTAGCAATAGCTGACAAGGACATCATCTTAGCTGCTAGAGAGGAGGCAGCAATTCCTGTCCCAGTGAAGCCCACAGCACCCAGCACGGGGGGCACAGCACCTATGGTCATGGCTGTGGGAAAAGGGGCAGAGTCAGGTGGATTTGTAAAAAGGGACTCCCAACACACTGGGTCAAAATGGAGTGGGTGCTGCTGGGGTCTGGAAAAAGGGAGAATGAGCAGAGCAGACTGGGCCAGATCTTTTCCTCTTCCCTCTAAGGCCTCCTTGGAAAAGCCCAGGTGGAAGGTGGGGCCAGAGGCAGCTCTGAACCAGAGAACCGGAAGTTAGAGCCAGAAAGCATAGGCAAAGAGTAGATGTTTGTCACTGAAGATAGAGTGAGTCCTGGGCTGGCTCTGAAGGGTAGCAAGGCCTTCATCAAGAAAGGTGCTGCTGGTGCCACGGTGTCTGTCCTGGTCTAATGCTGGGATAAGAGCAAAGTATACCCAAAGCCAAAAGTCCAAAGATCGTGTTTACAGAGGATCACATCTTGCCCAGGAGATGGGAGATCCAAGGGACACAACTGTTGAGACAGAAGGAGGTGTCAAGAGCCCTGCTGTGTCACCAGTGAGCAAGTCCGGAGCCACCAAGCTGGTGGGGCCTGCATAGCATGTCTAGTATGTTCCTACTCTTTGCCTATATAGTTCTACGGTCCCCTGGAAATCTCTAAATGAGCTCAACAAGCTCATTGTTTTTCAAGGAAACGGGAGCTCAGAAGAGTTTAAATACATTCACTCGGCCCCATGGTGACTATTCTCACAGAGGGTGACAGGTGTCTGCTAAAGATGTGGCCTCTGACTGCACTGCACTGCCTCCTTGTGGAGGCCCACAGAAGTGAATCCCTTCCACGTCGACAAATGGTCAGAGAGTTCAGATCTGTTCTTGCTCCATCAAGGTTATAAGACAGGATATTTTGACCTAAGGTGTGGTTTAAAATGCTTTGCTTAGACAAAAGGATATTGTGTTCTAGGTGGTGGTTACTTGGTGTTTTAAGATGTGAGGAGGTAATCACATTTACGTGTTCTTTATATCATGGTAAAGAAGTCTTTTGCCCTCCCCCATTTTGAATTGGGGCAGATAAAGGATATGGTAAATAAATTTGGCGGATCAGAGTATGCAGTGGATGCCCTCCTGCTTCTATCAATTATGTCTTAATCCTCATCCCTCCTGCCAAGCATAGACTAACAAGTCGGGTGGGACCCTGAGACCTCCTTGTTTCAGTTCTCTCTCTCTCTCTCTCTCTCGACTAAGTTACTATCATAATTACTTCTCTATTGCTGTGATGAAATAACATGACTAAGACAGCTTATAGAAAAAGCATTTTATTTAATTTTTAATGATTATTTTTGTTTTATGTACATTGGTATTTTGCCTGATGTATGTCTGTGTGAGGGTGTTGACTCACTTAGAGGTAGCCTTTCAGGTAATTGTACACTGCCATGTGGGTGCTGGAAATTGAACTCAGGACCTCTGGAAGAGGCCAGTGAGTTTTCCTAACCTCTGAGCTAATTCTCCAGTCCGAGGTCCTTCTTTGGAGACACTTCCTTCCTCCCATCTACAGCCTTGCTCAGCACCTGCAGGGAAGCCTCCTAGGACAACATGGGCTGCTTCCTGGCTCCCTGTTTACGGGGAGGGTAGGAGCGGACTAGTACCCCTTCCCTGAAGATACTTATCTCCCCCCAAGCACAGCAACAGCAGCCTTGGCTAGAAAGGAAAAGAGAATCCTGTGAGAGGATCCGCACTGTCCCTACACCATCCTGCTTACAGGAAGGGCCGAGCCCTGTCTGTTCCTCCCTGAGAGAGAGGACCCACATGCATTTGTCTGCCCTGAGGAGGCACAGGCAGCTTGGCTCTGGAGAAACTCAGACATCTCAGATGGATTTGCTCTGTTCTTCCATTATTTCCCTGCTTGCTGTTTGCCTGTTGTGGGGAAGGAAGTCTGATGTTACCCTTTCTGTTCTCTGTAGCCCCCAAAGGAGGTTAGGTTCAAACAAAACAAAAACAAAACCAGCTGGGATAGAGTACTGGGACTGTAATTGACTTTCCTATTTGATTGATGGAGGCCTTAACCACCATTATGGTCCAGAACATGGATAGCAGGCAGGCAGTCATATGATGCTTTTGAAATCTCAAAATCTAAACCCAGTGTCAGGCAGTGGTGGCACTTGTCTTTAATCCCAGCACTCGGGAGGCAGAGACAGGATACAATAATCCATCGTATTAGTAAAAGAAGCAGTAAAAGTTGCATTGGAAATGAAAACTGCTATATTACCTGTTATCCAGCAGGTGGCACTGTTGCCAAGACATGACTAGAATCAATGCAAAGGTGACAGAAACCTTTGTTTCAGTGTCCACCTTGATATTTGTTAAAGACTGGAAAATATGAGTTGCTCAACAAAGTAAATGTAATTACATCAATTCCATACATGGAGCCAGAAACCTAGAATCCAGGGGCAGAGAACAGCAACCCAGAAGCTGCATATGCCACTTCCCAACAAAGAGTCACCCAGAGGGGTCGCAGCATTTGGCAACCACTTGCGCTCTGACTTGCACTCTCCCTTAATCTCTTTTGATCACAGAGGTCGGCAGTCAGAGATGGATTTGAATCTTTTTCGCCCCAGAAGCCTAAGACAGGGACTCAAGTAATTAAGAATGCCTATTCCAGTGACAGATAAGTCTGGGCAAATGAGAAAGCCTTCACCTAAGACAGACGCACTCATCTGTCCTGTTGAGAAGCACAGGCATTATTAAAATTAATAAGAAGGGAGGAATTGTAGGGGCCCATTCCCACATTGTCTGGCAGTCAGAGAATCTGAGAGACTTACAGGCACAATTCGCACTTCCACACAGGAGGTGGTCGCCTGGCTCTCATGAAGTAAAGAAAACTCGGTGTCATCCTGAGGTGCCAGGATATGCTAATTTGATTCTGCTCCTTCCATGGTAACTATGAGGTCACCTGGTGAGGAGGTGTTTTAGCCTACGTGACCAAGTGGACATAACGTGACTTGAATCATTCCCGTTACCTAGGCAACAGAACGTTAATAAAGCTTTTCGTTACCTTCTCCCCCAGATTACCTTTGGTATAAAAGCTTTTGGAAATTATAAACGTGGGTGATTACGGGATCTGAATAATCCCTGAAACTCCCTCTTGATACTGTTGCGTGAATTGTGTCTTTGTTTTTCCCACGCCTCTACACTGGTGAGAACTGTTTTTTCGTAGGGGCTGGTCCCCGACAGGTTCTCTAACAGGCCAGGGCTACAAAAAATAAACTAACTTCATAGCCCCAAGAAAGCATTACAAGTTTCCTTTTTTATGGTCAAGGGTTCCATGCAGGGCAGAAACTATATTGTAAGATTTCAAACATTTTTGCTGTCGCTATGCCTTGGAGAAGGCTGTGTGAACTCATCTGCCCTCCAGGCTCCACCCCTGCCCTGCAGCTCACACTGCAAGGTCCTCTCAGTGGAGCCCTGACTCAGATTTGCCTCTCTCTCTGACAACAATCACCCTTGGATACAGTCTCCAGTCTGGGAAAGTCCTGCTTTTAAGACCACTAACCACAAAATGTTTAAAATGTTCATACACTTAGGAGTACAGAATTTAGCACACAAGGTCCTTATTATGCCTAGTCTCCTTAGGAGTTTACTTCCATAAGCCTACCTCTGTAGATAAGAAAAAGATCTTTCATTTTGCAGTTTAGGCTTGCAGTCCACTAATTAGGGAGCTGACTGAGAGAAAGAGCTCCTTCCTGTGACAGTTGATCTGGATTTATTATGACTCTGGTTCTTATCATTTACTCAAGAAATGGCATGTGACCTTCAGATATAATGCCTGAAAGATTTTGTGGGTCTTTGTAAGCTGTGAAGAACAAACAGAGTTGGCAGAATTCAACATGAGAAAATAAAGAGTGAAATCATCAGGAAAGTGTGTGCTTTTTTCTTTTCCCTAACCCTCTCAGATAGCAAAAAGTCCTAGCTTAGCAATGCTGTGAATTTTCCTCTGAACCCTGCCCACAGACCATAAGCTGGCACTTCCTTTCCTGGGCATGTTGCCCACCTGATAGGAGGTCAGGGGACTTGATGGCAGACCAGGACCAGTGGTACATGTGACCTTGCAATGCTCCCTGAGGAGCATGGATGATTAATAGTCAGGGTTGTCTCCTGTTGCTATGGGAATGGGGCCTAATTGGGGGTGTGTGGGGTCAATCATGGTGAGCAATAGCGGAAACTTTCTCAACAACCTGAAACTTCCACTATTGTTATGCCCAGATTACGACCCCCAGAGGGAGACCACCAGAGAGGCCCAGACTGTAATAAGCAAGGTTTAATCAGCATAATACAAACATGTTTGGAACCCCTGTCTCCTGACCCTGGTATAGGGAGGCAGAGAGAGGACTTGTCTCTCCTCTGTGGGGTAAGCTTTTAAAGGCATAATTACAAAAAGGCTTTTTGAAGCTGCTTTGGCACTGGTGCAAGGACTTTTGCTCCCTCCCATCCTGCTAAATCAGCCTTTTCCTTGTTTTTAGAGCAAGGCCACTGTTCCTGAATTAGGCCATGTTTATCAGCCTGTACCAGGAGGCTAACTGGGCTGAGCCAAGTGTTCTTGTGCTCAGAATCTCCCCGTTGGGGGAGGGGAAGGACACTATCTTCCTGGAAAACATTCTGCTAGGAAATTTCTTCTCACCCCGTTGAGAATAAGGGGTGAGGGTTCTACACTATATTACAAATTTTTCTTTATGACAATCTACAACAAACCTCTTTATATAAGTTGAACTTTCTAGTCATATTGGAAGCAGCACTCCTTTAGATAAATTCCACTTAATGTGATATAATAGTTCCTAAGAAAGATTATTTAATAAATCGTCATAACATCAATTTTAGTACTTCCAGTTCCTACAGAACACTGGCATGGGTTGGGGTAAAAACAGCCCTAGCAAAGAAGTGATATGTTACAATACATTGTAAACACAGTAACACTCAGAAGGCCTCAGTTATAGAATAATAGCATATTCTTTCCAACCCAGAAGGACCTGGAGAGAGCAGGGAAAACAAAGCCTATCTCATTGGCTGCTTTGGATCACTGGGTGAGTCATCAATCAGAGTGGATTTTTTTTTTTTTTTTTTTTTTCAGGCCTGGAGAGAACAGGGAAAACAACCAACTCACTGGCTGCTTTGGATCACTGGGTGAGTCATCAGAGTGGATTTTTTTTTCAGGCCTGGAGAACAGGGAAAAGGAAACCTATCTCATTGGCTGCCTGGATCATTGGGTGTGTCTTCAACAAGACTGGGTTTTATTTCGGGACTGGAGAGAACGGGGAAAACGAAACCTGTCTCATCAGCAGCCTTGGACCACGGGGTGTGTTGAAGAACAAGAGTGGATTTCTTTTTTTCCCAGGACTGGAAAGAATAGAGAAAAAGGAAACTTATTTAATTGTCAGCTGTGCATCTCTAGGTATGTCTTCAAGCAAGGGTGGATTTTCCACTCAGAAAAGAACTGAATTTAACAGAAACACATTCAAGATCCGGGGGTGGAGGGGTGGATAGATGCAAGGGTGGGGTCGTGGTTGGTGGTGGTAAGGGTCATTTCAGGATACTCAGAGATTTATACTGGGTAAGGACAGGAGACAGATTGCTCCTTTCTGGAGCCCATAGTCTTGGTGGCTAAGTCCCTTCAAGGTTGAGAGGAGGCCAGTGTACCCTCACTCTCTGACCCATCTTTTGTTCTCATGAAAGCACAATCAAGAGTGCCTACCTAGGAGGAAGGACCCAAGGCTTCAGCTGCCCCTGGAGGCAACAGAGTGGGTGAGATGAGCTCCAAGTGTTAGAGCAACATCATCGCGAGAGTTGGCATTTGTCAGCAGCTGGACGTGCATGTCTTTGCCGTGGAGCCTTTCACCCTGAGCAAATCACTTGCAGTGGCTTAAATGGTTCCTGAGCCCCCCGCCGTCTATTAAACAGGGCAGGACCTTGCACTGTTACCACCAACTCTGACCAGGTGCTCTATCCACCCTGGAGTCTCTGGGATTTCCAGGTTGGCTGGTGGGAATCCACCACTGGGTCCCCAGTCTCCTCAGCAAAACTCCAATTCCGTTAACAGATTCGGGTTGTGTTTGGAACTTCTACTGGACCCCATGGCATTGTCTGGAACAGGCACGCTAGTGGCTTCCCTTGTCTGCAAGATAACAGCTTCAACAGCTATGGCCAAAGTTGGAGGTGCAGTCTCGGGTACCATTCTAGCTGGCTCCCAGGGTAAGTGACAAAGGAGGCTCGAGAGTTGGGGTGAGGAGATAGTGATGTAGAGTACAGCATCCTGCCCTTGGCTGCCCACTCTCACACACATGGCCTTATCTGTGAGAAAGCCCCGAAGGAGATCAGACCCTAGCATTGTCCTGGGCTTTGATTCCCTAACAGCACAGACGTACATGCTTTACAAGGTCCTACTCAGAGACCTTGGTTCCTGGGGTCTGGATCTGGGTTCTATATTCTGTTCTCACGTCTCTTTGATTTACCAGGAGAATTCACATTTTTTTTCTTTTCTGAACTTTTGAGCTTCTGAATCTACAACTAGGGTGTCGATCTTTACAAAGTTCTATACTTCAGTCCTTCTTCCAGTTTTGTGGCCTCCTCTTCACTTTTATTAATTTATTTTCCTCCCAGATACCTTCTCTGTCACCCCCAAATTTTCAGGGTTTTGGTGTCAACATGTTTGTGTGTGTGTGTGTGTGTGTTTCTACAGACATATTTTATCATTTGCATGGTCATTATAATGCACCTGTGTCCCTAGAAGAATCTAGAGACATGGACTTCTGAAAGCACACACAGCCTTTTGTGCAGGTAGTGTTCTTTTCCTTTGTATCCCCAGGGCAGATGCACTTAAGGATTTCTCTAGACCACACAGCAGGCAATTCATGGAGGATGTGCTTCTGACACTTCCCAAACTGTAACATTTTCCCTCCAGGGCTCACCCTGTTATACCAGACTGCCCTGGGCTCTGGAGCACCTGTGCTTGCATCTGCATTCGGGGCACTGAAGGCTGGAAGCATCCTGTCAGGGGGCCCTGCCTATGTCTTGGCTGTTTGTCCCACTGGAGGTAAGTGGCCCTGCATATCAGACAGTCCTCCTTGAGCCCCAAATCGGCATGGAGAACTGTTAAGAAAAAAAAATTATGAAGAGGGGCGGCTCTGCCAGCGCAAAGAAATCCAATAAGGCCAGATCAAACCAAATTAAAATGTACATTATTCATTAAGTACGATGCTCTTGAGAGACGGAGCTCATGGCAGGACAAGAAAGCAGGGAGCCCATGCAAACCCGAAACCACGTGTTTCTCCTCTGGGAGCCCACTTAAATACTCTGTGGAAGTGGTCCTGAACCCTCAAGAACTTAGCATGCTGGGATTTGGAGTCCAGAGTAATTTTAATGCAGCTCCCATGCCAGGGTCATGGGCAAAGCTCAAGACTCAACAAGGACTGTGACAGGCAACAGTTTGCTCTCCTTTCTGCTTGTCAGAAATGCAGATGGTTAGGGAATCCAGAGAAGTAGATAATATAGGATCAGTAGGATATTACTGCATGCATTCATGCCTCAAATTTTAGCCTATTACATTGATAAATTCCTTGAAGTGGTCTAATAGCCTCAGAGGAAGATAACATTGTTGCCCTCTCTTTCTGGAGAGGGGGCTGACTCTATACCACAGGCTAGCTTAGCAGTCACTGTGCATGTAACACAGTAAAATTAATTGCCCTTAAGCCTGTGACAGTTTTCCTGTCCATTGTCTAAATACTGAAGCTGCTGGCACAGCCACCATGCCTGTCATTATTATTCCTCATTGACCAGAGGGACCATTGTTGAAGGCCCTTGGCAGGAGGCATTGTAGGGCTTCTCCTTCTGCAAGGGCCAGTAAATAAAAAGGAAATTCAGAGTTGTGTGGGTGATAGTGGAAAGAGGCCCAAGACTGAAGTTCTAAATATCTCCAAAAAACTTGGCTAGTTCTGTGGCCTTCAGTAGAGCCCAGCATGGTGGGATTGCGACAGGTAGCACTTCCTTTGGAGCAAAGGCCTTCATGTTCATGGCCAGGGCAGCCTGGTAACAACCTCCCCTGCTTGCCAGTACCAGTAAACAGCAAATGATTTCCAACCATGCTCATGAGCCCCTGGGTCCACAGCCCTCCAGAGAGTGCTCCTGGCAACTCAGTACCTGCTTTGTACAAACCTGGCTTTCATTCTTCCAGTTTAACCCATAGGCCACTAGAGAGCTGAATAAGCTCTCTGGGTTACCCTTGAACTCCTGGCACTACAGCTTCAGAGTTTTCAATGCTGGCCCCTGTGTCTGCTGGGGATCAGGATCCTGCATGCTGCCTGGAGGCCCATACTGTTGGGCGCTGAGTTCATATGTACCCAAATAAAGCTTAATATGGTAGCTCAATATTTAGATTAATGAATTCTGTTCAAAGGGGGTCTGGGAGGGCTAGCTGGAAAAGTGAACAATGAACTGATACCTCAGTTTATCCAAACAAGTCTCTTAAGTAGCCTTCAGCTGGGTGGTGGTAGTGCATGCCTGTAATCCCATCACTTGAAAATGAGAGGCAGGCAGATCTCTGAGTTCAAGACCAGCCTGGTCTAGACAGTGAGTTCCAGGACAGCCAAGGCTACACTTTAAAAAAAAAAAATTCAGTTCACAAGTTTGCATCACAGATGTGCTGCCTCGATCCAGTTAGACCTTACCATGAAGTACCTCTTTCGATACCCTGGAGATTTTCTGCTTTCCATAGGGCCAAGGAGAGTGTCTGATAATCCACACTGGCAAACACTGGAACTGCTTCCTATCAACCAGCAGCACTATGTAAAGGGAACAACCCACCAGGATAGCTATTGTGTTTGGATGAGAACAGAACCCAAAGACTCACGTACTATCCTGCTTCCTCACTAGTTGGTGGAAGATTTTGGGAACATTTAGGAGGTGCAGCCTTGATGGAGGGGGTGTGTCACTGGGTTTAGATTTTGAGGTCTCAAAAACCTCTTGTCTGCCTGCTGTTGGGCTGCTGCTGTGCTCTGGAACGTGATGGCGGCTAAGCCCTCCATCAGTCAAGCCAGGACTGCCAATAACAGGCCGAGTACTCTGTGCTCACTGAGAGAGGCTACCACATGGTTTCTAGTGATACCCATAGGAATAGTGTTCTTTTTCTCTTTTTACATGGAGCCAGGATAGTCATTTCCTTATCAGCCTGTATCCCCAGCTGGTTTTGTTTTTGTTTTGTTTTGAACCTAACCTGCTTTGGGGTTTACAGAGAAAAGAAAAGGTAACCACATCAGACTTCCTTCCCCACAACAGGCAAACAGCAAGCATGGAAATAATGGAAGAACAGAGCAAAATCCATCTGAGATGTCTGAGTTCTCTAGAGCCAAGCTGCCTGTGCCTCCTCGGGGTGGACAAATGCATGTGGGTCCTCTCTCTCAGGGAGGAACAGACAGGGCTCGGCCCTTCCTGTAAGCAGGATGGTGTAGGGACAGTGCGGATCCTCTCACAGGATTCTCTTTTCCTTTCTAGCCAAGGCTGCTGTTGCTGTGCTTGGGGGAGGTAAGTATCTTCAGGGAAGGGGTGCAAGTCCACTCCCACCCTCCCGGTAACAGGGAGCCTGGAAGCAGCCCATGTTGCCCCAGGAGACTTCCCTGCAGGTGCTGGGCAAGGCTGTAGATGGGAGGTAGGAAGTGGCTAGAAAGAAGGACCTGACACAAGGGTGGAGCATACTGTAGTCACAGGCCACATCTCTAGCAGGCACCCACCTCCTTGTTTAAGAATAGTCACCTTGATGCCTGTTGAATGGATTTAAACTCCTTCGAGCTCCTACTTTTCCTTTTCAAAGATGAGCTTGTCAAGCTAACTTAGAGTGTCTAGGGTGCTGTATGTCTGAGTTGAGGAGAGTTGGAACGTACTAGACAATGCTATGCAGGCCCATCAGCTTGGTGGCTCCTGACTTGCTCACTGGAGACACAGCAGGGCTCTTGACACCTCCTCGAGCCTCAATGGTTGTGTTCCATGAATCTCCTGTCTCCTGGGCAAGATGTGATCCTCTGCAAACACATACAATGGGCCAATCTCTTACCCAAGTATTAGATCAGGACAGACACTGAGGCCTCAACAGCAACTTACCTGGTAAAAATCTTGCTACTCATCTGAGCCAGCCCAGGACTCTATCTGCACTGACAAACATCCACTCTTTGCCTATGCTCCCTGATTCCTGAGTCCTGGTTCTCTGGTTCAGAGCCTGCCTCTAGAACTACTATCCACCTGTGCTTTGGGCTTCTCCAGGAGGCCTCAGAGAAAGAGGAAAAGACCTGGCCCAGTCTGCTCTGCTCATTCTCTCTTTCTCCAGACCCCAGCAATCCTTTCCCATTCAGACCCTGTGTATGTGGGGGGGGGGGGTCCCTTTCGCCAAATGCACCTGACACCAGCCTCTTCCCACAGCCATGACCGTAGCTGCTGTGCCCCCCGTGCTGGGTGCTGTGGGCTTCACTGGGACAGGAATTGCTGCCTCCTCTCTAGCAGCTAAGATGATGTCCTTGTCAGCTATTGCTAATGGGGGTGGAGTCGCGGCTGGTAGCCTGGTGGCCACTCTGCAGTCCGTGGGTAAGTGTCATGGTAGGTGGACTAGAGGGAGGGCTAGACACAGTCCAGCATCTCAGATCCTGCTTTATCTTCTTTCAGGGATTTAGCAAAAGATGTGGAGGAGAGAGGAAAGGATTAGCTGGGGTACAAAGCTCCACCTGGGTCCAGCCTTCCTCCCTAACAGACAGGGAATCCCTAGAGTTCGTTATGGACTTCCTTTTCTTACTTGTAAAAGTAATTGTGATGGATACAGATCCCAGAGACTTTAGAAGTAGCCATGCTGTGGAGAGTTTGTGCCTTAGGCCATCTGAATGATGCTGGCTATGATGACCCTCGGGGACCCAGTTTGATCCCATCTCATGATTTTCATCATTTGTTTCTTCCCCAGGAGCTGCAGGACTTTCTCTGTCATCTAAAGTCCTCTTAGGCTCTGCAGGATCTGCCGTGGTGGCCAGTGTGATGGGCATCTCTCAGAGTTCCCGATCTTCTCTCCTCGGAGAAGAGGACATGAAAGGAGAGGGGACAGGTCACAGCTTGTCCAACCTAGAGAATGGTCAGTTAACCTTAGGGGACAATCTGCCCTCCTGGCATCTACAGGACCTACCATTGTGTCAGCATAATGGTATCTCTGAGAGTTCTATCCTTTCACTCTTCACAGAAGCAGACAGGGAAGCAGAGGAGACACCCCCAAGCTTCTCCCACACAGAGAGTGATCAGTTAACCTCAGGGAATGATCTGTCCTCTTGGGATCTGCAGGATCTTGTCTTCTGTGTAGTGTAATGGCATCTGTGTGAGATCGAGTTCTCTGTTTAGAGGACAGGGGAGTAGAGGTGACACCTCCCTGCTTGGTCAACCTAGAGAATGATCAGTCAACCCCAGGAGACGATCTGCCAGTGTCAGATGCCTAATTGGAAATAAGAAATAAAACCAAGTTGTTGCCAGCCTTTTCCTTATCATCATGTGTGATGTTTGTGTGGTGAATGTTGAGCAGGGACTGTTTCCTCTGTTCCCTGGGCTTGGGTGGCTTAGGCTCACGTCTTTCTCCCACCATCACTCACAGAGACACAGGGGTAGATGAGAACTCAGGTAGAATAAGCTCAGCACACAAACAGAAGTTACCCTTTGCCCTGAGAACTCTGAGCAGGTCACCTCCTCAGTAGCTCCTCCCTGCAGGGGGAATTGACATAAATCGACCAGGCAGGTGTGGGTTGGTTTGATCCCTATGAGGAATTTAGCATGGCATCCTGCTTTGAGCCATTGGTCTCATCGCCAGAGGGTGGTTTGTATTCCGACTGCCCTGGCACCAGGTATCCACTGATAGACACTGGTGACCTGCACTCAAACCTTTGTTCTCAGCTCAGTCACCACAGAAACCCGAACCCACTGCCTGCCCTCTCAGCCTCACTGGAGGGAACTGTCTTTCTCTTTGTGTTTCCAACACAGACCTTGCCCATGCTTGGTATGCGGAAAATGCTTCACTGATTACACTTGCTCTAGGGAATTGTAGAGTTTTCTACTTGGGACAGACTCAGGCATGAGAGCAGAAAAACCACCCTGGGTCCTGGCCGAGGATCACTGCCAGACAGTGAAGCCCTCCTAGAGTGAGTTTTCTCTTCTCCCTGACCTGACTGGGACTCCAGCATTGTCCAAGGAGAGCAGGCTCTGAGCAGTTTTCCCCAGGTCCTTTTTATGAGGATTGAAGGATGCTTCTGTAAATTACCAGTGTGTCCAGGTGAGAGACTTAACACAAGAATCCCAGGAATCACACACAGGGTTCCCTTCTATGACCCTCGCCTGACGTCCACTCCCATAGACACAGAAAGACCAGAAATGAAGCCAGCTATAGTATTGATTTTGCCATGTTGTAAGCCCAAGTGAATAGAGAGGAATTTACAAAGTTAGATGCGAAGGGGCGCTAATTACTGGAGATTGCTGTAAAGGTTAACAATAACCTTTTTTATGGTTGGAGAAAATGATAAACCAAAATGCAAGGGTTAATAATAACCTTTTACTGTGTAGGAAAAAATACAAAACCAAAGATTGACCTCAGCAGCATTAGCTATTCTCCCATAGACCTATAAAAGAGATCCCAGATGGGAAATCAGAGACACCAAGAAGGAAGGGGCAACGAGGAAATCCTGCCCTATGCAAATGATTTCAAAGGTGGGGGACCTCCTAGCTCAGTTATTGGGACCCCAGAAGAGGCCAGTGGCCTAGCTGTGCAACAGACTTGATCCTGTTTATGTCCCTTGGCCACTACTGCTAGCTAATAAGGAAGCCGAGAAACTATCTTTGGACCAGGACCGATTCCTAACCCCATCTGCCTTGTGGAGGTCCTCTAGAGGGGCCACTCCAGAGAGGTGGGTATCAAAAGCCTGAATGATGTATTATCAACCACTTTTCCTGGACCAGCCCCACACCTGTTTCTGGATAACTTCAGCCACCATTCCAGCCATCCTGCTGATAGACAAAGACCCCACAGAGCTCTCGTTGTTTGCCTGAAAGTGATTATTGCATGCAACCCATCAGACCTGACCTAACTGATGTCCTCACACAACCTTATGTCTCTCTGTTCGCTCCTCCTGAGAGACTTCTGCATGCCTCCCCAAGCAGCATCTATTTTTCCCTCCTCCAGGAAGTCTTCCAAATCTTTCCCTGAAGATCAAAATTTTGACTCTCAGTATTCCAAGTTTGTGACTATCATTACTGTGAACGGTATACTGTGTCCCAATGGCTTGACAAAGGGCAGAATCTTTCTGCCTCAGGACATCAGTGTGCACCTTTTCCAGCAATGCATTATGCATCATGTGGGTGATGACTACCGACCTTGGGTCAGGGTGTTGTCAGTGTCCCAGGAAATAAAGCTGGAATTTCGACCTCCTTTTCAACTTTATGGACATTGTATGGAGGTGAGCATTTCTGATTCTGTCTCCTTCCTGAGGTCCCCATGCATTAGCTCAGCCCAGTGCATCCCTGTTAGTTCTCTGTCAGTCTTTCATCAGTACAGTGGGTTAGGTCTGTTCTGCTCATCGTCCTGCATATCCAGAACCATTGATGGCAAAGGACCAACAGCTTTCAGGTCAATGTTCTTGGCTACCTCTCACCTTTGACCCAGAACAGGAGCCTCTATTAGCCCAACTTTTAATAAGCACCACAGTGAGGTCCATAAAGACCCAAAGCAGCCCCCGTGATACACAGACCATCATAACTAAGGCAGGGGCCACATGAATCTTCTCTCTTTTGGCTGTGTGCTGGCCAACATCCATTTGATATCCAAATGATATCCAATTTGAATGTGGCTGTGGAAACCTGTAGAACTGAAACTCTCAGTCATGAAACCCCTTCAAAGAGCCACCACAAGCAAAGAGAGGGACACCAGCAAGAGGCCTTTCTTTTTCATTTTTTTCTCTGATGTCAGTGAAAGATTTTGAAGATCATCTTGGGGTACACTGTCTCCTAGATACTATGTATAGTCTTTGCGGTCTACTGGTAGAGGTGTTATCTCCTAAGTTCAAATCAAGATAGCGGCAGCAGGCCGGGCGATGGTGGCGCACGCCTTTAATCCCAGCACTCGGGAGGCAGAGGCAGGCGGATCTCTGTGAGTTCGAGACCAGCCTGGTCTACAGAGCTAGTTCCAGGACAGGCTCCAAAGCCACAGAGAAACCCTGTCTCGAAAAACCAAAAAAAAAAAAAAAAAAAAAAAAAAAAAAAAAAAAAAAGATAGCGGCAGCAGCTGCCCCAACAGTACCCAGTATGATGTTGGTTGATGTGGAGAGTCCAAGGACCCCTGGGATGGAGACAGTGCAGTAACAGTCAGTGGCTTGAGGCTTAGAAATGCCCCACTGTCTTTTTGTATGAACCTTGGGCTCTGCTTTAGACAGAGATATTCAAACTAGGTCAGAAGGAGAAGACAGATTTGGTTAAGCTAGGAGACAGATTGCTCCTTTCTGGAGCCCATAGTCTTGGTGGCTAGGTCCCTTCAAGGTTGAGAGGAGGCCAGTGTACCCTCACTCTCTGACCCATCTTTTGTTCTCATGAAAGCACAATCAAGAGTGCCTACCTAGGAGGAAGGACCCAAGGCTTCAGCTGCCCCGCAGGCTAGAGAGGAGGTGAGATGAGCTCCAAGTGTTAGAGCAACATCGCGAGAGTTGGCATTTGTCAGCAGCTGGATGTGCATGTCTTTGCCATGGAGCCTTTCACCCTGAGCAAATCACTTGCAGTGGCTTAAATGGTTCCTGAGCCCCCCGCCGTCTATTAAACAGGGCAGGACCTTGCACTGTTACCACCAACTCTGACCAGGTGCTCTATCCACCCTGGAGTCTCTGGGATTTCCAGGTTGGCTGGTGGGAATCCACCACTGGGTCCCCAGTCTCCTCAGCAAAACTCCAATTCCGTTAACAGATTCGGGTTGTGTTTGGAACTTCTACTGGACCCCATGGCATTGTCTGGAACAGGCACGCTAGTGGCTTCCCTTGTCTGCAAGATAACAGCTTCAACAGCTATGGCCAAAGTTGGAGGTGCAGTCTCGGGTACCATTCTAGCTGGCTCCCAGGGTAAGTGACAAAGGAGGCTCGAGAGTTGGGGTGAGGAGATAGTGATGTAGAGTACAGCATCCTGCCCTTGGCTGCCCACTCTCACACACATGGCCTTATCTGTGAGAAAGCCCCGAAGGAGATCAGACCCTAGCATTGTCCTGGGCTTTGATTCCCTAACAGCACAGACGTACATGCTTTACAAGGTCCTACTCAGAGACCTTGGTTCCTGGGGTCTGGATCTGGGTTCTATATTCTGTTCTCACGTCTCTTTGATTTAACTGAATTCACATTTTTTTCTTTTCTGAACTTTTGACCTTCTGAATCTACAACTAGGGTGTCGATCTCTACAAAGTTCTATACTTCAGTCCTTCTTCCAGTTTTGTGGCCTCCTCTTCACTTTTATTAATTTATTTTCCTCCCAGATACCTTCTCTGTCACCCCCAAATTTTCAGGGTTTTGGTGTCAACATGTTTGTGTGTGTGTGTGTGTGTGTGTGTGTGTGTGTGTTTGTGTGTGTGTGTGTGTTTCTACAGACATATTTTATCATTTGCATGGTCATTATAATGCACCTGTGTCCCTAGAAGACCCTAGAGACATGGACTTCTGAAAGCGCACACAGCCTTTTGTGCAGGTAGTGTTCTTTTCCTTTGTATCCCCAGGGCAGATGCACTTAAGGATTTCTCTAGACCACACAGCAGGCAATTCATGGAGGATGTGCTTCTGACACTTCCCAAACTGTAACATTTTCCCTCCAGGGCTCACCCTGTTATCCCAGACTGCCCTGGGCTCTGGAGCACCTGTGCTTGCATCTGCATTTAGGGCACTGAAGGCTGGAAGCATCCTGTCAGGGGGCCCTGCCTATGTCTTGGTTGTTTGTCCCACTGGAGGTAAGTGGCCCTGCATATCAGACAGTCCTCCTTGAGCCCCAAATCGGCATGGAGAACTGTTAAGAAAAAAAAATTATGAAGAGGGGCAGCTCTGCCAGCACAAAGAAATCCAATAAGGCCAGATCAAACCAAATTAAAATGTACATTATTCATTAAGTACGATGCTCTTGAGAGACGGAGCTCATGGCAGGACAAGAAAGCAGGGAGCCCATGCAAACCCGAAACCACGTGTTTCTCCTCTGGGAGCCCACTTAAATACCCTGTGGGAGTGGTCCTGACCCCTCAAGAACTAGCATGCTGGGATTTGGAGTCCAGACTAATTTTAATGCAGCTCCCATGCCAGGGTCATGGGCAAAGCTGAAGACTCAACAAGGACTATGACAGGCAACAGTTTGCCCTCCTTTCTGCTTGTCAGAAATGCAGATGGTTAGGGAATCCAGAGAAGTAGATGATATAGGATCAGTAAGATATCACTGCATGCATTCATGCCTCAAATTTTAGCCTATTACATTGATAAATTCCTTGAAGTGGTCTAATAGCCTCAGAGGAAGATAACATTGTTGCCCTCTCTTTCTGGAGTGGGGGCTGACTCTATACCCCAGGCTAGCTTAGCAGTCACTGTGCATGTAACACAGTAAAATTAATTGCCCTTAAGCCTGTGACAGTTTTCCTGTCCATTGTCTAAATACTGAAGCTGCTGGCACAGCCACCATGCCTGTCATTATTATTCCTCATTGACCAGAGGGACCATTGTTGAAGGCCCTTGGCAGGAGGCATTGTAGGGCTTCTCCTTCTGCAAGGGCCAGTAAATAAAAAGGAAATTCAGAGTTGTGTGGGTGATAGTGGAAAGAGGCCCAAGACTGAAGTTCTAAATATCTCCAAAAAACTTGGCTAGTTCTGTGGCCTTCAGTAGAGCCCAGCATGGTGGGATTGTGACAGGTAGCACTTCTTTTGGAGCAAAGGCCTTCATGTTCATGGCCAGGGCAGCCTGGTAACAACCTCCCCTGCTTGCCAGTACCAGTGAACAGCAAATGATTTTCAACCATGCTCATGAGCCCCTGGGTCCACATGCCCTCCAGAGAGTGCTCCTGGCAACTCAGTACCTGCTTTGTACAAACCTGGCTTTCATTCTTCCAGTTTAACCCATAGGCCACTAGAGAGCTGCCTAAGCTCTCTGGGTTACCTTTGACCTCCTGGCACTACAGCTTCAGAGTTTTCAATGCTGGCCCCTGTGTCTGCTGGGGATCAGGATCCTGCATGCTGCCTGGAGGCCCATACTGTTGGGCGCTGAGTTCATATGTACCCAAATAAAGCTTAATATGGTAGCTCAATATTTAGATTAATGAATTCTGTTCAAAGGGGGTCTGGGAGGGCTAGCTGGAAAAGTGAACAATGAACTGATACCTCAGTTTATCCAAACAAGTCTCTTAAGTAGCCTTCAGCCGGGTGGTGGTAGTGCATGCCTGTAATCCCATCACTTGAAAATGAGAGGCAGGCAGATCTCTGAGTTCAAGACCAGCCTGGTCTAGACAGTGAGTTCCAGGACAGCCAAGGCTACACTTTAAAAAAAAAAATTCAGTTCACAAGTTTGCATCACAGATGTGCTGCCTCGATCCAGTTAGACCTTACCATGAAGTACCTCTTTCGATACCCTGGAGATTGTCTGCTTTCCATAGGGCCAAGGAGAGTGTCTGATAATCCACACTGGCAAACACTGGAACTGCTTCCTATCAACCAGCAGCACTGTGTAAAGGGAACAACCCACCAGGATAGCTATTGTGTTTGGATGAGAACAGAACCCAAAGACTCACGTACTATCCTGCTTCCTCACTAGTTGGTGGAAGATTTTGGGAACATTTAGGAGGTGCAGCCTTGATGGAGGGGGTGTGTCACTGGGTTTAGATTTTGAGGTTTCAAAAACCTCTTGTGACTGCCTGCCTGCTGTTGGGCTGCTGCTGTGCTCTGGAACGTGATGGCAGCTAAGCCCTCCATCAGTCAAGCCAGGACTGCCAATAACAGGCCGAGTACTCTGTGCTCACTGAGAGAGGCTACCACATGGTTTCTAGTGATACCTATAGGAATAGTGTTCTTTTTCTCTTTTTACATGGAGCCAGGATAGTCATTTCCTTATCAGCCTGTATCCCCAGCTGGTTTTGTTTTTGTTTTGTTTTGAACCTAACCTGCTTTGGGGTTTACAGAGAAAAGAAAAGGTAACCACATCAGGCTTCCTTCCCCACAACAGGCAAACAGCAAGCAGGCAAGTAATGGAAGAACAGAGCAAAATCCATCTGAGATGTTTGAGTTTCTCCAGAGCCAAGCTGCCTGTGCCTCCTCAGGGCAGACAAATGCATGTGGGTCCTCTCTCTCAGGGAGGAACAGACAGGGCTCGGCCCTTCCTGTAAGCAGGATGGTGTAGGGACAGTGCGGATCCTCTCACAGGATTCTCTTTTCCTTTCTAGCCAAGGCTGCTGTTGCTGTGCTTGGGGGAGGTAAGTATCTTCAGGGAAGGGGTGCAAGTCCACTCCCACCCTCCCGGTAAACAGGGAGCCTGGAAGCAGCCCATGTTGCCCCAGGAGACTTCCCTGCAGGTGCTGGGCAAGGCTGTAGATGGGAAGAAGGAAGTGGCTAGAAAGAAGGACCTGACACAAGGGTGGAGTATACTGTAGTCACAGGCCGCATCTCTAGCAGGTACCCACCTCCTTGATGCCTGGTGAATGGATTTAAACTCCTTCGAGCTCCTACTTTTACTTTTCAAAGATGAGCTTGTCAAGCAAACTTAGAGTGTCTAGGGTGCTGTATGTCTGAGTTGAGGAGAGTTGGAACGTACTAGACAATGCTATGCAGGCCCATCAGCTTGGTGGCTCCTGACTTGCTCACTGGAGACACAGCAGGGCTCTTGACACCTCCTCGAGCCTCAATGGTTGTGTTCCATGAATCTCCTGTCTCCTGGGCAAGATGTGGTCCTCTGCAAACACATACAATGGGCCAATCTCTTACCCAAGTATTAGATTAGGACAGACACTGAGGCCTCAACAGCAAAATCTTGCTACTCGTCTGAGCCAGCCCAGGACTCTATCTGCACTGACAAACATCCACTCTGTGCCTATGCTCCCTGATTCCTGAGTCCTGGTTCTCTGGTTCAGAGCCTGCCTCTAGAACTACTATCCACCTGTGCTTTGGGCTTCTCCAGGAGGCCTCAGAGAAAGAGGAAAAGACCTGGCCCAGTCTGCTCTGCTCATTCTCTCTTTCTCCAGACCCCAGCAATCCTTTCCCATTCAGACCCTGTGTGTGTGGGGGGGTGGTCCCTTTCCCCAAATGCACCTGACACCAGCCTCTTCCCACAGCCATGACCGTAGCTGCTGTGCCCCCCGTGCTGGGTGCTGTGGGCTTCACTGGGACAGGAATTGCTGCCTCCTCTCTAGCAGCTAAGATGATGTCCTTGTCAGCTATTGCTAATGGGGGTGGAGTCGCGGCTGGTAGCCTGGTGGCCACTCTGCAGTCCGTGGGTAAGTGTCATGGTAGGTGGACTAGAGGGAGGGCTAGACACAGTCCAGCATCTCAGATCCTGCTTTATCTTCTTTCAGGGATTTAGCAAAAGATGTGGAGGAGGGAGGAAAGGATTAGCTGGGGTACAAAGCTCCACCTGGGTCCAGCCTTCCTCCCTAACAGACAGGGAATCCCTAGAGTTCGTTATGGACTTCCTTTTCTTACTTGTAAAAGTAATTGTGATGGATACAGATCCCAGAGACTTTAGAAGTAGCCATGCTGTGGAGAGTTTGTGCCTTAGGCCATCTGAATGATGCTGGCTATGATGACCCTCAGGGACCCAGTTTGATCCCATCTCATGATTTTCATCATTTGTTTCTTCCCCAGGAGCTGCAGGACTCTCCCTGTCATCTAAAGTCCTCTTAGGCTCTGCAGGATCTGCCGTGGTGGCCAGTGTGATGGGCATCTCTCAGAGTTCCCGATCTTCTCTCCTCGGAGAAGAGGACATGAAAGGAGAGGGGACAGGTCACAGCTTGTCCAACCTAGAGAATGGTCAGTTAACCTTAGGGGACAATCTGCCCTCCTGGCATCTACAGGACCTACCATTGTGTCAGCATAATGGTATCTCTGAGAGTTCTATTCTTTCACTCCTCCAGAAGCAGACAGGGAAGCAGAGGAGACACCCCCAAGCTTCTCCCACACAGAGAGTGATCAGTTAACCTCAGGGAATGATCTGTCCTCTTGGGATCTGCAGGATCTTGTCTTCTGTGTAGTGTAATGGCATCTGTGTGAGATCGAGTTCTCTGTTTAGAGGACAGGGGAGTAGAGGTGACACCTCCCTGCTTGGTCAACCTAGAGAATGATCAGTCAACCCCAGGAGACGATCTGCCAGTGTCAGATGCCTAACTGGAAAAAAGAAATAAAACCAAGTTGTTGCCAGCCTTTTCCTTATCATCATGTGTGTTGTTTGTGTGGTGAATGTTGAGCAGGGACTGTCGCCTCTGTTCCCTGGGCTTGGGTGGCTTAGGCTCACGTCTTTCTCCCACCATCACTCACAGAGACACAGGGGTAGATGAGAACTCAGGTAGAATAAGCTCAGCACACAAACAGAAGTTACCCTTTGCCCTGAGAACTCTAAGAAAGGTCACCTCCTCAGTAGCTCCTCCCTGCAGGGGGAATTGACCTAAATCGACCAGGCAGGTGTGGGTTGGTTTGATCCCTTTGAGGAATTTAGCATGGCATCCTGCTTTGAGCCACTGGTCTCATCGCCAGAGCCTGGTTTGTATTCCTACTGCCCTGGCACCAGGTATCCATTGATAGACACTGGTGACCTGCACTCAAACCTTTGTTCTCAGCTCAGTCACCACAGAAACCCGAACCCACTGCCTGCCCTCTCAGCCTCACTGGAGGGAACTGTCTTTCTCTTTGTGTTTCCAACACAGACCTTGCCCATGCTTGGTATGCGGAAAATGCTTCACTGATTACACTTGCTCTAGGGAATTGTAGAGTTTTCTACTTGGGACAGACTCAGGCATGAGAGCAGAAAAACCACCCTGGGTCCTGGCCGAGGATCACTGCCAGACAGTGAAGCCCTCCTAGAGTGAGTTTTCTCTTCTCCCTGACCTGACTGGGACTCCAGCATTGTCCAAGGAGAGCAGGCTCTGAGCAGTTTTCCCCAGGTCCTTTTTATGAGGATTGAAGGATGCTTCTGTAAATTACCAGTGTTTCCAGGTGAGAGACTTAACACAAGAATCCCAGGAATCACACACAGGGTTCCCTTCTATGACCCTCGCCTGATGTCCACTCCCATAGACACAGAAAGACCAGAAATGAAGCCAGCTATAGTATTGATTTTGCCATGTTGTAAGCCCAAGTGAATAGAGAGGAATTTACAAAGTTAGATACGAAGGGGCGCTAATTACTGGAGATTGCTGAAAAGGTTAACAATAACCTTTTTTATGGTTGGAGAAAATGATAAACCAAAATGCAAGGGTTAATAATAACCTTTTACTGTGTAGGAGAAAATACAAAACCAAAGATTGACCTCAGCAGTATTAGCAATGCTTCAAAAGACCTATAAAAGAGATGGGAAATCAGAGACACCAAGAAAGAAGGGGCAACGAGGGCATCCTGTCCTTTGCAAATGATTTCATAGGTGGGGGCCCTCCTAGCTCAGGTATTGGGACTCTGGAAGAGGCCAATGGCCTATATGTGCAACAGACTTGATCCTGTTTCTGTCTGTTGGCCACTACTGCTATGCTAATAAGGAAGCCGAGAAACTGTCTTTGGACCAGGACCGATTCCTAACCCCATCTGCCTTGTGGAGGTCCTCTAGAGGGGCCACTCCAGAGAGGTGGGTATCAAAAGCCTGAATGATGTATTATCAACCACTTCTCCTGGACCAGCCCCACACCTGTTTCTGGATAACTTCAGCCACCATTCCAGCCATCCTGCTGATAGACAAAGACCCTACAGAGCTCTCCTTGATTGCCTGAAAGTGATTGATGCATGCAACCCATCAGACCTGACCTAACTGATGTCCTCACACAACCTTATGTCTCTCTGTTCGCTCCTCCTGAGAGACTTCTGCATGCCTCCCCAAGCAGCATCTATTTTTCCCTCCTCCAGGAAGTCTTCCAAATCTTTCCCTGAAGATCAAAATTTTGACTCTCAGTATTCCAAGTTTGTGACTATCATTACTGTGAACGGTATACTGTGTCCCAATGGCTTGACAAAGGGCAGAATCTTTCTGCCTCAGGACATCAGTGTGCACCTTTTCCAGCAATGCATTATGCATCATGTGGGTGATGACTACCGACCTTGGGTCAGGGTGTTGTCAGTGTCCCAGGAAATAAAGCTGGAATTTCGACCTCCTTTTCAACTTTATGGACATTGTATGGAGGTGAGCATTTCTGATTCTGTCTCCTTCCTGAGGTCCCCATGCATTAGCTCAGCCCAGTGCATCCCTGTTAGTTCTCTGTCAGTCTTTCATCAGTACAGTGGGTTAGGTCTGTTCTGCTCATCGTCCTGCATATCCAGAACCATTGATGGCAAAGGACCAACAGCTTTCAGGTCAATGTTCTTGGCTACCTCTCACCTTTGACCCAGAACAGGAGCCTCTATTAGCCCAACTTTTAATAAGCACCACAGTGAGGTCCATAAAGACCCAAAGCAGCCCCCGTGATACACAGACCATCATAACTTGGTCACATGAATCTTCTCTCTTTTGGCTGTGTGCTGGCCAACATCCATTTGATATCCAAATGATATCCAATTTGAATGTGGCTGTGGAAACCTGTAGAACTGAAACTCTCAGTCATGAAACCCCTTCAAAGAGCCACCACAAGCAAAGAGAGGGACACCAGCAAAAGGCCTTTATTTTTCATTTTTTTCTCTGATGTCAGTGAAAGATTTTGAAGATCATCTTGGGGTACACTGTCTCCTAGATACTCTGTATAGTCTTTGGGGTCTACTGGTAGAGGTGTTATCTCCTAAGTTCAAATCAAGATAGTGGCAGCAGCTGCCCCAACAGTACCCAGGATCATGTTGGTTGATGTGGAGAGTCCAAGGACCCCTGGGAAGGAGACAGTGCAGTGACAGTCAGTGGCTTGAGGCTTAGAAATGCCCCACTGTCTTTTTGTATGAACCTTGGGCTCTGCTTTAGACAGAGATATTCAAAGTAGACCAGAAGGAGAAGACAGATTTGGGTAAGCTAGGATATAGGAGAAAGACCTCTCCTGAGAGGAAAGTCCTCTCTACATTACAGTACAGAGGGGGACACACTGGAAAAGGACACCCAGTGAGGGAAGATTCAGAGCCCAGGGAGCATGAATATTGGACCAGGGTTCTTTCCTGCTCTGCCATCCGGCATCCCTTACTCTGAACCACACCCCAGCCACACTCATAATGAAGCAGATAGCAGGGACAGAAGTATAAGACTCAGGTGATATTAAAGGTGGGAAAAGAGGGAGAGGCAGGGAGATGCCCTCCTTGGCTGTCTCTCCAGTCATCTTGCCTGGAGGGACACTTACCTGCTGACTGCATTGCTGCCACCATGCTTCCGGCTGCAACTCCACCCCCATTGGCGATGGCTGCTGCTGACATCATCTTGGCTGCTATGGATGCTGCTGCTATTCCTGTCCCCGTGAAGCCCATGGCAGTCAGGACTACAGGTACAGCTCCCACACCCACAGCTGTAGGGAGAGGAGTTGGTGTGGGCTCAGGGAAAAGACCCACTCAAGATTTCCTGGACAATTTTGGGGGGGGGGTCTATCTTTTACGAACAGCAGGGAAAGGGTCCAAAGGTAAACAAGGATAGACAAGGAGCCAGGTGGAGGCCAAGAGGTCAGTGGAGGATCTGACAGAGCCAGGGTCTCACCAAGTTGTGTGAGACCAAGTTGTGCGCACGCCTTTAATCCCAACAGATTACATTTCTAAAGCTAACTATCAAGATCCCTTATTAGGCCACTTCCTCCTCCTGAGGCTGACCAACAAGGTCCAGCTTTCAGTGTTGAAGTCCACCAATCAAAAGCCCCCTTTGACTCACCTAATTAACATGCCCAATTAAAGTTAAATATGTAACTTCATCCTAACTTGGGATTCCCTCTTTTACCTGTATAAATTGCAGTTTGCTTCTGGACCAATTCTGTTTCCTCTATCTAGAAGCAATCTCCTCTCCCCAAATATCCCTCCTCCTCTCCCGTTTTTCTTCCCCTTCTTCCTAGTCTTCTGTCTCCTATTTTTGTCTCTTATTTCCTGCCCATAGTCACTCTGGGATAAATAAATCTTTGTAATGACAACTTGGTCTTGGGGTGTTCTGAGCCAGTATCATTCCTTACATTTCTTTCCTTTCCTTCCTTTCTCTTTCGTTTGTTGGTTTTGGTTGTTGTTGTTTTGTTTTGTTTTGAGACAAGGTTTCTCTGTGTAGCCCTGGCTATCCAGGAACTCTACTCTGTGGACCAGGCTGGCTTTGAGTTCCAAGATCCCCCTGCCTCTGCCTCCCGAGTGATTAAAGGCACGCGCCCCCATGTCTGAATCCTATTCTGTTTTCTTCTTCCAATGCATCCTAGTATTTCCTAAGGAAGTTTGTTAATTATATTTCATTAATGCTACAGTCTATTTTACCAAGGTCTAAAACTTGCGTTCGAGACTGGTCTATCTTCACCAGCCCTGTGCAGTAGGAAGTCACTACGGAACTGCAGAACCCAGTATTTTCAGTAGAGGCTTAGTGTTGTAGGTCAGGTAAGAAAACCTTCAAGACTAACAGTAAGTACTGCACCCAAACTAGGTTATGCGATCTCTTGCGCTCCCTAGCGTCCGTGAAAGAGCTCCGAGACGCAGCCTAAATGATAAAATACTCAGAGAGCGAGGGCCAAGCGGAGTACCAAAGCCAAGCCTCTTCCTTCCCGCCCACGTCCTGAACAGTGCCAATCAGACGGCTGCTTCCGCATGGAGGCGGTACTTCCTTCTGCAGCGTGCACGCGTGCGTGAAGTCCCGCCCCGGAACTGCAGTTTCAGACGCTGCTGCTGCAGTTCCGGGTCAGGTTGGCGCTGACGTCTCGGTGCTGGAGAGAAGTCTGGCGGTGATTATCCTGGTGAGTGCGGTGCGCGTGGCCCCTCCGCGGCCGGCTCCCGGTGTCCCCAAAGCATAGTGGGTCACGGGTGCACCCTCAGCCGTGGTTTCCGGGCGGCCCACGCCTGAGGCCGGTAACCACGCATCCAGGCCCAGGAACCTCCCTTGAAAGTCTCGTGCGACCGCAAAGCCTGAGGACCTCTTGAAGGCGGTGCAGGGCACTTCCCAGGTCCCATTTTTAGTGACATTCCCTTCGGTTCGTCGAGGTGGGACCGAGGTGCGGTGGGGTCGTTGTGTAGTCGGTGTCTGGGACCGCTGCATGAGCCTTGCCTGCGAGTCAGTGTGCTGCACTATACAACAGGCGCCATGCTAAGCGGGTTTTGACGTGCGTCACCATGTCGTATTCAAATGACGACCCAGTGGGTTCAATACCTCATTATTCTTAAATAGTAGATGAGGAAACTGAGCCACAGAGGGGTTTATCAAAGGCTCCGAGGTGGCAAGTGTTGAATCCAGATATGAATCGAGTTTTACCTTTTTGCTCCCACAAATTCTGTTCTTTCTTATTTAAAGAGGATCACTGTGGAGCCACTTCGACTCAGATGAGTCTCACATAACCCATGACCCTTTTTAAAGACATGGTCTCGTGTGGCCGTGGCTGGCTTTGAACTCCTGGAAGGCTTGATACCCACTAAGCATGGTTTTACGCAGTGCTGGGGATGGAACCTAGGGCTTCATTCATACTAGGCTAACACTCTGAGCTACAACCCCTGCTAGCGCTCCATCACTTAAAATGTAATTAGAAAAGCTGCATGGGGTGGAGATGGTATTGCCTTGTTCTAATAGGGAAGAGAGCTTGGCGCACTCTATCCCCTAAAGCCGGAAATGAAAATCCATCTCCAATCCTTACTCCATCTTAAACATGGCCTCTGTAGGTCAGGCATTATTCTGTCACCTCTGTTGTCATTCCAACTATTTGTGTATAGCGTGAAAGTAGATATTAGCTTGGCCCTCTCTTTTTAATAGGATTAAAACACTAAATTCTGAGAAGATCGGTAGTATTGTTGAAGGTTGCATACAGTTAAGTGTGGGGGCTGGGATCCTGACTCCAGTTAGCTCATGTTACTATATCGCCTGTGTTCCGTCCGCTCCGAGCCCAACTCCCTATTCTGTGGGTGTGCCTCATTTTCTGGCTGGGAGCATCTGCTCTCTGTATGTTAAAGCATCTTTGGGTTCTCGGTTGTGTGTTGCCATAGAACCCATGCTTCACAGTCGCTAACCTGAAAGAACGTTTTTTGTTTCAGCAACCATGAAGATAAAGGAGACCAAATCAAGGCCAAAGCCGCCGAGCCGTGGTGTGTTTCAGACGAAGGGCATCAAAGTGGTGGGGAAGTGGAAGCAGGTGAAGATCGACCCAAATCTGTTTGCGGATGGACAGATGGATGACTTGGTGTGCTTTGAGGAACTGACAGATTACCGTTTAGTCTCCCCTGCCAAAAACCCCTCTGGTTTCTTCTCAAACGAGGAGCCCAAGAAGAGAAAGGCCCAGGCTGTTTCGGAAGAGGAGGAGGAGGAGGATGAAGAAGAAGAGTCTAGCTCCCCGAAAAAGAAGACCAAGCTGAAGAAACGGAAAGATGTGTTAGTGGCTGCCAGAGGAAGTACTGCCCAGGATGAAGTCAAAGATTCTGAGCCAGAGACTGTTTGTTTGGATCAAAAGGTAGGGGAAGCAGCCTCGGGAAGCCTGGCACAGGCTGTTCCAAAAAAGAAGAAAAACAAAGGGAAAAAGAAATTAGATCTTTCCCAGAGCACCGCCTCTAAAGTGCCCAAGAAAGCAAAGACGTGGATGTCTGAAGCGCACGACCAGAAGGCAGACGTGTCCGCCTGGAGGGACCTGTTTGTGCCCAAGGCCGTTCTCCGAGCACTCAGCTTTCTAGGCTTCTCTGCACCCACCCCGATCCAGGCTCTGACCTTGGCCCCTGCCATCCGGGACAAGCTGGACATCCTTGGAGCTGCTGAGACAGGTAAGGGCTGTTCTTTCTGTCCTGAGCAGGAGAGCGTGTAGATCCAGGCTTTGGTTGCTCATAGGCTGGAAAACTGGAGGAGGGCAATGTTAAGAACATGACCGCAAAAGCTGTGTTGAGAAAGCATCCAGCTCTGGGCTGAAATCTGCCCCTGCTGACTTTGGTACCCTTGCTTTATCTCTGTAGAGTGTGTGAGATGGGGGTGACAGCACTACCTAAGGCCTTGCCGTCAGGCTTAGAGTCTTCTCTTACAGTCCTACTGTAGAGTTTTTTAAATCAAGAATGGATGTTAGATTTTTATTTATTTATTTTTTGCAAATGTTCTTTGTGCATGTATTTAGGTTTGTGGGATTTTGTTTTTATTCTATTGATAATGGTAAATTATATTGGTTTTCAGGAATGGAAACAAAACATTCCTGAGAAGCAGTGAACTCGATCACAATGTGCTGTTTATATATTGGATTTGGTCAAGTGTGAACATGAAATGAGAATATGCATCTCTAGTTTTATTGTAATGTTCTTGTCTGGTGTTAGAGCTGATAGTAACATTGGTCTCGATAACTTGTGAAGTGTTCTGTTGTCAGTTATCTGAAAGAGTTTTAAATAGTTGATGTCTTTTTCACCCTTAAATATTTGTTAAAATTCATCTGGACTTGGTCTTCCGTTTTTAGGAGGTTTTTAAAGGCAGATTTAAAATTTTGAAACATTAGAGTTTTTTGTTTTAATTCATTTTTTTTCCCTGTATGATAGTTTTCAACTTAAAATTCTATCCAGTTTTCTGTTTCATGTAGCTGATGGTCTGTTACCAGGCTCATAAATGTTTTATATATTAAGACATTCTTGTCAGTTCACTAGGTTAGCTGACTCCTTTCCATGACAGAGCAACCATCTGTATCCTGTAGGGGGCTTTTTGTGACGTCTGCGTTCATCTGCCGCTGTTCCTTGGCTTCGTTCTGATGGTAGCATGGTCTGTCCTTCCCATACTGTTCTGTAGATTTAGTTTGACAAACTGCTTTTTTGTGTAATATCCGTTTCTTGTGTGTAGTGCATAATTTTTGTTCTTTAACTGAATTATTCAGGCCATCTGTACTTCATGTGGTTACGGAAAACAGCTGCGTTTAAGTCCGTTCTGACTTTCCCCTAGTTGTCCAAGATGTTCTTTGTTGTTTGTTACCTTACTTGAGATTGAATTTTTTGGTGATATTACAGATTAAATATTTATTTGAAATATTTGAGACACTCTTTTAGATTTGGATTTGAGACACTCTTTTAGATCTGGATTTTTTAAATTAATATTTGCATCTACATAGTGGAATATCTTAGGGATAGGATCCAGACTATGTATGAAATTCACTTATATTTCATACACTCCTTAAACATATAGCCTGTAGGCCATGCTGGCAACTCAAAATGTTTAAAATTTTTTAGTATTTGGGAATTCAGATTTTTGGGGATGTATTTAGGATGTTTTTAGGAACAAACAGAAACTGATGGTACGTGCCTTTAAGAAGCAGGAAGGTCTGTGTGTTCAGCCTGGTCTACAGAGCAAGTTCCAAGCCAGCCAGAGCTGCATAGACCTTCATTTCAAAACAAGACAACAGAAAACAGGTGCTGTGGGGTTTTACCAAACCAAGTACTTCATCTCTCTACTTTTGCCATGTGTCCTTTTCTGCAGGTCAGCTCTGTCTACTTGGAGTTAGAGTCCTTCCCTAGCAAGCCTGGGTCCAGTTGCACAAGCCTGTTTCATTATTGGGCCCCGTTCCTGATTTGTTCAAATGAAGGAGTGTATTGTAGCCTCCTTGGTTTAATACTTTTCTAAAAAGCCCCCAGAACCCAAGGAGACATATGCACTGGCTTAAAGGGTGTAACTCGGGAACAGCTTGATTGGAGAGATCGACAAAATGTTGAGGACAGAGGGCTTCCATGTGTCCGTCTGGGCATACCAGCCTTTATGAGTTCTCCATCTGGGAGAGCTCTTCAAATCCCATCCTTTGCAGTGTTCTTATAGAGCTTCCTTCCATTATGTAGACGTGATCTGTTAAAGCCTTGGTCATTGGAGATGGACATTGGTCTTCAGTCCTCCTCTCTGGTGCTCGCGAGGGATGTGCATGAGAGGTCCAGCCTGTGGCCACCAGCTGCGTCCTGAAGTTTTCTAGGTGCAATTAGTCTCAGTTCACAGTTTCTCATTAGTTTACATAAGACCCTGTTACTCCTGAGGCCAGGAACGGAACGTGGAGATGAACTATTAGAACACAAGATGCTCCTGTTGAGAGGTTACAGTTGTTTCCAGAAATTCTGTGCCAGGAACTGGGAATGAGACCAAATACACATTCATTGCGCTGTCTCCTTTCTTGTTTTGCTGGCCACAGGCCTTTGTGGTGTCTTTTAGTGTTTGCCTTAGGGTTCACAATCTGTTACGGTTTGTGCACATATATTTACCATAGTTTGCCTTCAAGTGATACAGTGCCTTGTGTGTGATACAAAAGCCTCAAGGGCGTATTTCCATATCTCCCTCCTTTGTATTTTTGTTGTATGTTTTTTGGTTGTGTGTTTCTATCTGTGTTGGAAATCAGAACTATGCTTTAACTGTTTTGCTGTAAGCAGTTATTTTTTAAAAGAGGTTTAAAAAGTAACAGTTTCTTTCTGTTTCTGTAATTTCTGATGACTTCATTCCCTGTGTAGATGGAGATTCTCATGACCACCATCCTTTCTTCTGCACAGAAGCTTTTAGCGTTCTTTGTAACAGCTCTGTCTGCCAGCAAATTGGCTCAGCTTTATAAGCTAATGCGGCCTTTGTTTTGTCTTTGTTTTCTGGGTAGTTCTGAATTGTCAGTTTTATTTTTCCTAGATTGTTAGTTACAGATGCTGCCGTGATATATTTCGGTATTCTTTGTCTTTGATGAAAGTGTAGTTTTTCTTAAACTTTTGAAGTTTTTTGTTCTAAGCTTTTGCTTCTTTGCTGTGATTATTTTTTTACTTGAAACTGTTCACAAAAGTTTTTTCTCTTTTTTCAAGTTTTCAAAAACATTTCTATATGTATGTGCATTTATATATAGGTTTGCGCAAGCCAAGGCCCGTGTGTGGAGATCCTAAGACAACTTGTGGGAGCAGGTTCGCTCCTCCCCCATGTGGGTCTTGGGATCAGTCACAGATCGACAGGCTTAGTGGCAAGTGTCTTTATCCATTGAACCATCTCACCAGCCCTTGAGAGTTCCTTGCAGGTTCGGATTAGGCTTTTTTTTCTTCTAGAGACCATGATCGATCCCCCCCCCCCCCCCCCCGCCCCAGGACATTCTTGCTTTTCACCTTTAGTATCTGGGAAGGGTACCTTTCAGCTCTCCTAGTAGATCCCCAAGCACAGACGAGATGCTGCTGAGCTGTCTGTACTTTTCTTTCTGCACATTTACGTAGATTGAACGCCTTTTATGTCTTGAGCATTTATATGCTGTGGTCATTTTCTGCAGATTGATGTATAACAGCAAAACTAACATTAATTTCTTCTTCACAGTTTCATGGAAGGACTATTCATTCTTACTGTAGTAAGAATCTTAGTGACCAAGTCATGACTTTTTTCCCCCTAAGATGAAACTTTACAGCTTTAGATCAGAGAACACCTTACAGCTTCCCTTTAGACTGAGCTGCTCTGGGAGAGCTCGTCTCAGGTGCTAGGACAGCGAGCAGGGGCACACAGTCTGATAGCAGATCTCTGCATGACTAGCAAGCAGGTGGTAACATTTACGCTGTGAATACACTGGACAGAAGGAAGACTTGTGTACATGGAGCCAGTGTGAGAGTTCCCCGTACTACTTGGAATGATAAGCAGCTTGAAGTTTATGAAATGCTTATTTATGGACTTGTCAGTTTAATACTTTTGGGGCCGTAATTGACCATGAATAGCTGATGCAGAAAGTAAAATGACAACTAAGGAGAAAAGCTGTGCTTCAGATTTTCAGGTTGTAGTGTCCTTTTTGACCTCTAGGATGATGTGGGCTCCATATGCCTTCACAGGTCAGTTTTAAACACGCGGGCCTAGAGACAAACTGGTTAGGATTCCTGAAAGAACTATTGATTGCATTCCTTCTCTGAAGAAGGTTGAAGTGATGCACAGGTTTTTCCGCAATAAAACACACTCACCTTTCTTTTATGGTTTCATCACTGGGGTATTTGCTCATTGTCACTGGTGACATCAGGTCTAGAGCCAGCATGCTGTGCCTTTCCTTGTTTTATGCCACATACCTGGCTGCCATGCTCTTCAGGAGCCTGTGTAGAGTGTTGATGCTTTGGATAGGTCACACTGACCCTTAGTGCTTTCAGTGTCCCTTATTTCTATGCAAAGGCAGGAGCTTCAGACAGTGATGTGCTGCATCGTGGATTCCTGTTGTGTTTGCTTTGCTCCTAAGGAAGCGGGAAAACTCTTGCGTTTGCCATCCCGATGATTCATGCAGTGCTGCAGTGGCATAAGATGAAGGCTCCACCTATCCCGCATAGCACTGGGATACCACGGAGGGAGAGCAGGGTAGGAGCCGCTGCTGATCTGGGGTCACCTCGCACGGATGGGACTGAGTCTGGAGTGTTGCTTGATGAGACCAGAACTGAGAATGAAGCGCAGCCCAGTGAGGCTGGGGCGAAGGCCGAACCCGAAACTAGTGCCTCTACGTCAGCCCGGGCACTGCTCTCCCGTGATGATGATGATGATGCTGGTGAAGGACCTTCTTCCTTGGTTGAGGACAAGCTTTTCCCCAAGCAAAATGAGGATGGAGGAGAAAAGCTTGATGAAGAGCAGCCTGGGAAGTTAAGACAGGAGCTGTGTAACCATGTTGCTGTCTATAACTTACACCCACGGCGCCCCCTGCTGGGACTCGTCCTGACGCCCACTCGAGAGCTGGCCATCCAGGTCAGACAACACATTGATGCTGTGGCCAGGTTTACAGGTGAGATTTAGTTCCACTGAATAAGTGTTTCCAGATGCCAGGTGACAGCAGTGAGAGCTGTGGCTCCTGTCCTCTAGGAGAGCTTTCTTATTTGCTGGAATTAAGTCCTTTAGAATTGTTGAATTTCCTTAAGGGGACCAGATATCTAAAATGTTTATAGAAACCTAACCTTTTAATAGCAAATTTGCTGATTGCCTTGAGGTAAAACCTTAATTCTATACCTTTAGGGAAGGGTTTCCACACTACAGTCTTTATCCTAGTGCAAGCCACATTGCATGGCTGAGTTCTCACTCAAATGTAAGGCACTTGCCGAGCACCTCAGCTGTGTTACCCTGTGTGTTCACCCCTATCCCTTGGCCCAGAAGCAGCCCTCTTCCTGAGAGACAGCAACTCAGGCCTCAGAAGAGCTCAGGTTCACTCTAATGGGAGGGAATGGAGAGGGCTCCTTACGGCGTGTCACATAAACATCCTGCCCAGCACTGTAGTGCACCACTGCTCGTGGTCAGAGCTGTGCAGCTAAGTCTGACCGGGGTCAAATCCAGCCTTTCTCTTGGGATTAGAAGAAAATGGCAAAGTAGACAGGGTCCAGACCACAAGCTACAGGCTGTCTGCTAAGACCTCTAGGAGTCAAGCCAGACTGACTTTCAGCACTCCATGGCACAGAGAGCTGTGCTGGCGACCATGTGCTAGTCCAAAGGATGGCAGCCAGGTGGAGTAGCAATGTTTGTCTGTTTTCTGTCCCGTAGGGATTAAGACAGCAATTTTAGTTGGTGGAATGTCCACACAAAAGCAGCAGAGGATGCTGAATCGCCATCCAGAGATTGTGATCGCCACCCCTGGTCGACTCTGGGAGTTAGTTAAAGAAAAACATCCTCATTTAAGCAACCTTCGGCAGCTCAGGTGAGAGGCGGCCCCTCTCCCTTCTCTTACCCTCTCAAGTGAGCCTGAGGTGTGTGATGTGTGCAGGAAGGCATGGGCAGTGCTTTCTCACTATCACAAAATACTATGGCCACCCAGGCCCTATCCTTGCAAACCAAGCATGCACGAGAGAAGTTGGCTGATGCCCTAATGGCAATGGTAGGGTGCTTGTATGTATATGTGAATGAGAGTGTATGACTGGGGTGGGAGTGGGATATCATGTAGAGGTTCTTCTTCCCTGCAGTTGCACTAACCAATGATGTGGCCTGTCTGGTCTGCAGGTGCCTTGTGATAGATGAGGCTGATCGAATGGTTGAGAAAGGCCATTTTGCTGAGCTCTCCCAGCTTCTAGAGATGTTAAATGACTCCCAGTACAACCCCAATCGACAAACTCTTGTTTTTTCTGCCACACTGACCCTGGTACACCAAGCTCCTGCTCGAATCCTTCATAAGAAGCATGTGAAGAAAATAGATAAAACTGCCAAACTTGACCTTCTCATGCAGAAGATTGGCATGCGGGGCAAGCCAAAAGTTATTGACCTCACGAGGAACGAGGGTACAGTGGAGACCCTGACAGAGACCAAGATCCACTGTGAGACAGATGAGAAAGACTTGTATCTCTACTATTTCCTCATGCAGTACCCAGGCCGCAGCCTGGTGTTTGCCAACAGCATCTCCTGCATCAAACGCCTCTCTGGGCTCCTCAAGGTCCTGGACATCATGCCGCTGACTCTGCATGCCTGCATGCACCAGAAACAGAGGCTCAGAAACCTGGAGCAGTTTGCCCGTCTGGAAGAGTAAGTGAAGCCTGTCTCCAGAGGCCTGGCTTTGAGCCATGAGCCACTGTACCCAGGGGCCCAGGGAACTGGGCACCCCGCCCCGTCAGAAGTTCCTTAGGAGCAGAAGACAGGCTAGCCCTCTTTTTTCTTCTTCATCCTTCTTTTCCTTAATTTTATTTCTGTATTTGGCAGTGTCACACATTCATTGTGTTTGTTTGCTATTAATGTTCTCAGAGTCTTCCAGTAAGTAGTTAGACTACGGATGAAGTCCTGGGCATCCAGTCACTTCTAACACCCCTGAGAAGTGGCAGAATGCATTGTGATTAAAAGCAGAGACTATAACCAGAATATCTGACAGCAAATCCCCAACCCTTCACTTCCTTGCTGGTCAAGTTAGTCAGTGTCCCTGTGCTTCATTGTCTTCATATTTAGGGTAACAGGTGCTGATGGGATTGCTAGCAGAATAAAATGACTAGCAACGGTGAAGGGAAGGTATTGGAACTCCTGCCCAGTGTGACCTTGGATAATCACGAGCCCCTACCTCTGCTTATTGTCATCGCTCTTCTCACTTTGTAGATAACAGAGTGATGTCTAGAAAAGTTTACCAGCTGCCCAAGTTTTCACAATGTGGAAGTGACAGGGCTGGGTCCCAGAGGGATCTGTCAAACCCCAGAGCCTACACCACACCTCCTCATGTTTGTCCCTCTGCCTGTGGACCAGAGTACAGGTTGTCTGTCCAGGGAAGAGTGAGGTAACCTGTCAGTATGGGAGAGAGTAAGTGAGAAGGTATTAGGAGGTAAAGACACTGATCCAGGATGTATGTGACCAGAATATAACATGTGCTTTTCTCAGCCTCGGCTTAATTGTAAAAGGGAGGTGATAGTATTCCCTTGTGGGGCTGTAGTGTGGAGTGCTTAGTGGGTGCTAAGCTGACTAATAATTGTTATTTATTTTTGTTGTTGTTGTTTGTTTCCATTACAGCTGTGTTCTCTTGGCAACAGATGTGGCAGCTCGGGGTCTGGATATTCCTAAAGTTCAACATGTCATCCATTACCAGGTATGGCTCTTAGCATGAAAGCCCCTCCCCGCCATCCTGCTCCTTACAGTGAATGGGAAAGTGTTAAAGCAAAGGTTGGAGCAGAGGGGAGGAATATTTCCCTTTAGCATGTTCCCATTAGCATCTAGTGCCCGTTGTGACTGCTTTTGAAACAGCTTTTGATAGCAGCATCCTATCAAGTAACCTTTCTCTTTAGGCCACTTATATCTACAGATTAAAGTGTCAGTCCCTCCCACCCCCTTACCTTCCAGTGGCATGGCTGAGTGTTTATCTTAGTGTGCTTTTGTTACTTACAGAATACCTAAGGCTGGGTGCTTTGTAAAGAGGGAGTGCCTGTTGATTCTGGGGGCTGGAGAGTTCAAGGGCGGCCTGCTACCAGTGTCTGCTCTGCTCCGCTCCTCTCTGCTTCTGCTGGGAGCCTTGAGGTGGAGGAGTGCGCAGAACAAGTGGGACGGCCAACACGAAGGAGACAACATTGGGTGACATCTCTTGGTAACCAGTCTGCCCCGAGAGCAAGAACTCACTCCATTCCTCTTTCTAAGCCATCTGCAAACACTTCCTGCTAGGCCCCCAGCACTGCCGCCCTTGTTATGCTGAAGAGTTAAGCTGCAGCAGGAGTTTTGGTGGGGACAGACCACAGCAGCGTTTTTGTTTTTATAATTTTAATTTTTATTGAAAATAGATTTTTTTCATATAGTATATTTTTCTCATATAGTATATTCTAATCATGGTTCCCTCCCCTAAGTCATCCCAGATCCTCCCCATCTTCCCACTCCCACACATCTATACATCTATACCTTTTCTTTCTCTTTCTCAGTACAAAATGGGCAACAAAACAAAAACAGAATAGGACAATAACAAACAGAAAAAAGGAGCCAGAGATAAAGCATAAGAAACACATACAGATGCAGAGACACATACACTCCCACAGACAAATCCCGCAAAAACACAAAATCACAAACCTTGATATATAAACAAAAGACCTGTAAAGAAAAAAAAAGCCCAGACAAAGCATGAGACAAAAACCCTCCAAAAATACCATTGTTCATTTTGTGTTGGCCATCTGCTTCTAGTCATGGGGCCTGCCCTTAAGTGTGGTTTGTGTGGGTTTGTGTTTGTGAACGCTAGTCTGCATAAGCACTCACTAGCCCATAGGGATGACAATTCTAGGTAGGCATCAGCTCAGCTTCTTCATGTTTAGTGAGTTATGTAGGTGTTGTCTTCAACAGTAGGGTCTTACCATCAGTTTGTGGAGAGCGACAGTTACCATTAGCAGTAGCCTGGGTTGTTTGGGGTTTTATATAAGACCCTCACAGCAATGTGTTAAATGGCTAGTCTGATGTGCAGTGCAAGACCTCCCTTGGCTAAATCCCAGCTGTGACCTTCATCAAATTCTTTGGTCTCCACCCTAGGTTTTCTCATTTTGTGGATGGCAGGGTAGTGTGTTGCTGGGTTAGGAAGGCATATGTAAAGATCTTGGGCTGCTCAATTGGAAACACTGACTACATGTTCTGGAACAGCAGCAGCAGTAACAGTGATTGTGAAGAGCAAACAGCAGCAGGTAGTTGTAGCTGGGAGCATGGGCTCCAGGTCCTCCTGCCAGGAATAGAACACCACTCTGAGGCCTCAGGGTTGATAGCTTTGGCGAGGACTTTGGCACCATTCATTTTCGTGCTGTTACCTATAAGCTGGCAGCAACAAGCACACCTGCCCGTTAGTTGTTGGAACTGACTGGATAGTGAAGCATCCCCACAGTGTGGAAAGCCTGGCATCTCTTAGGGCAGTTTTTGTAAGCAGGGTTTTTGTTAGGACCACTGGTTCCCCAGTTACACAGAGACTTAATATTAATTATAAATGCTCAGCTGATAACTTAGGCTTGTTACTAAACTAGCACTAGCAACTTGTAGTTTGCTACTACATTTCTTTTTTTTTTTTTTTTCATAAACCTTTTATTGCCATTTTTGATATATTTTATGCCTACAAGATATAAATAGTATATTGATAATAACAGTTAATAATATAATAAATGCTCGTTGAGTCATTATCCAATCCAAGAATTAAAAACATAAGAACAGAATTTTTAATTGTGCTAAACTACAAATAACGCAATTTCTACCAGCCATTTTCTTTTTTTTTTTTTTTTTTTTTTTTTTTATAAGCTCAATGTCCTTTATTTAAGGCTAGAAACCAAATATGAGTGAGTACATCCCATGTTCCTCTTTTTGGGTCTGGCTTACCTCACTCAGGATAGTGTTTTCTATTTCCATCCATTTGTATGCAAAATTCAAGAAGTCCTTGTTTTTTACTGCTGAGTAATACTCTAATATGTATATATTCCATACTTTCTTCATCCATTCTTCCGTTGAAGGGCATCTAGGTTGTTTCCAGGTTCTGGCTATTACAAACAATGCTGCCATGAACATAGTTGAGCATATACTTTTGTTGTATGATAGGGCCTCTCTTGGGTATATTCCCAAGAGTGGTATTGCTGGATCCAGGGGTAGGTTGATCCCGAATTTCCTGAGAAACCGAAACACTGCTTTCCAGAGTGGTTGCACAAGTTTGCATTCCCACCAGCAATGGGTGATTGTACCCCTTTCTCCACAACCTCTCCAGCAAAGGCTATCATTGGTGTTTTTTATTTTAGCCATTCTGACAGGTGTAAGGTGGTATCTTAAAGTTGTCTTGATTTGCATTTCCCTGATCGCTAAGGAAGTTGAGCATGACCTTAAGTATCTTTTGGCCATTTGAACTTCTTCTGTTGAGAATTCTCTGTTCAGCTCAGTGCCCCATTTTATAATTGGGTTGATTAGCCTTTTACGGTCTAGTTTCTTGAGTTCTTTATATATTTTGGAGATCAAACCTTTGTCAGTTGCAGGGTTGGTGAAGATCTTCTCCCAGTCAGTGGGTTGTCTTTTTGTCTTAGTGACAGTGTCCTTTGCTTTACAGAAGCTTCTCAGCCTCAGGAAGTCCCATTTATTCAATGATGCCCTTAGTGTCTGTGCTGCTGGGGTTATACATAGGAAGTGGTCTCCTGTGCCCATTTGCTGTAGAGTACTTCCCACTTTCTCTTCTATCAGGTTCAGTGTGTTCGGACTGATATTGAGGTCTTTAATCCATTTGGATTTGAGTTTTGTGCATGGTGATAGATATGGATCTATTTTCATTCGTCTACAGATTGACATCCAGTTTTGCCAGCACCATTTGTTGAAGATGCTCTCTTTTTTCCATTGTATACTTTTAGCTCCTTTATCGAAGATCAGGTGTTCATAGGTTTGTGGGTTAATGTCAGGGTCTTCTATTCGATTCCATTGGTCGACTTCTCTGTTTTTATGCCAATACCAAGCTGTTTTCAATACTGTAGCTCTGTAATAGAGTTTGAAGTCAGGGATGGTAATGCCTCCAGACAATCCTTTATTGTATAAGATTGTTTTGGCTATCCTGGGTTTTTTGTTTTTCCATATAAAGTTAATTATTGTCTTCTCCAGATCTGTGAAGAATTTTGATGGGATTTTGATGGGGATTGCATTGAATCTATAGATTGCTTTTGGTAGAATTGCCATTTTTACTATGTTGATCCTCCCAATCCAAGAGCAAGGGAGGTCTTTCCATTTTCTGGTGTCTTCTTCAATTTCTTTCTTCAAAGACTTATAGTTCTTGTCAAGTAGATCTTTCACTTCCTTGGTCAGGGTTACCCCAAGGTATTTTATGCTATTTGTGGCTATCGTGAAAGGTGATGCTTCTCTGATTTCCCTCTCTGCTTCCTTATCCTTAGTGTATAGGAACGCAACTGATTTTTTGGAGTTGATCCTGTATCCTGCCACATTACTAAAGCTGTTTATCAGCTGTAGGAGTTCTTTGGTAGAATTTTTGGGGTCGCTTATGTACACTATCATATCATCTGCAAATAATGAAAGCTTAACTTCTTCCTTTCCAATACGAATCCCCTTGATCTCCTTATGTTGTCTTATTGCTATTGCTAGAATTTCAAGCACTATATTGAAGAGGTATGGAGAGAGTGGACATCCTTGTCGTGTTCCTGATTTTAGTGGGATGGCTTTGAGTTTTTCTCCGTTTAATTTAATGTTAGCTGTTGGCTTGCTGTAAATAGCTTTTATTATATTTAGGTAGGACCCTTGTATCCCTATTCTCTCCAAGACCTTTATCATAAAGGGGTGTTGAATTTTGTCGAATGCTTTTTCAGCATCTAGTGAAATGATCATATGGTTTTTTTCTTTCAGTTTATTTATATGGTGGATTACATTGATAGATTTGCGTATGTTGAACCAGCCCTGCATCTCTGGGATGAAGCCTACTTGATCATAATGGATAATTTTTCTTATGTGTTCTTGGATTCGGTTTGCCAGTATTTTATTGAAAATTTTTGCGTCGATGTTCATGAGTGAGATCGGTCTGTAATTCTCTTTCTTGGTTGGGTCTTTTTGTGGTTTTGGTATCAGGGTAACTGTAGCTTCATAAAAGGAATTTGGCAATGACTCTTCTGATTCTATATTGTGAAATACATTAAGGAGTATAGGTATTAGTTCTTCTTGGAAGTTCTGGTAGAATTCTGCATTGAAACCATCTGGTCCTGGGCTTTTTTTCGAAGGGAGATTTTTGATAACCATTTCTAATTCTTCGCGAGAAACCGGTCTATTTAGATCATTCACCTGGTCTTGGTTTAGCTTTGGTATATGATACTTATTTAAAAAAATGTCCATTTCTTTTGTATTTTCCAGTTTTGTGGCATACAGGCTTTTGTAGTAAGATCTAATGATTCTCTGAATTTCCTCTGTGTCTGTGGTTATGTCCCCCTTTTCATTTCTGATCTTATTTATTTGCGTGTTCTCTCTCTGTCGTTTAATTAGTTTGGATAGGGGTTTGTCGATCTTGTTGATTTTCTCCAAGAACCAGCTTTTTGTTTCATTGATTCTTTGGACTGTTTTCTGTGTTTCTATTTTGTTGATTTCAGCCCTCAGTTTTATTATTTCCAGTCTTCTACTTCTCCTGGGCGCGTCTGCTTCTTTTTTTTCTAGAGCTTTCAGGTGTGTTTTTAAGTCCCCAATGTATGCATTCTCCGTTTTCTTTAAGTGGGCACTTAGTGCTATGAACTTTCCTCTTAGCACTGCTTTCATTGTGTCCCATAGGTTTGAGTATGTTGTCCCTTTATTTTCATTAAATTCAAGGAAGACTTTAATTTCTTTCTTGATTTCTTCCTTGACCCAGGTGTGGTTCAGTAGTTGACTGTTCAGGTTCCATGAGTTTGTCGGTTTTTTGGGGGCAGCGTGGTTGTTGCCTTCTAACTTTAATCCGTGATGATCTGATAAGACACAGGTGGACACTGATATTTTTTTGTATCTGTGGAGGTTTCCTTTGTTTCCGAGTATGTGGTCAATTTTTGAGAAGGTTCCATGAGCTGCAGAGAAGAAGGTATATTCTTTCCTATTTGGGTGGAATGTTCTATAGATGTCTGTTAAGTCCATTTGCTTCATTACCTCCAATAATTCTCTTAATTCTCTATTAGGTTTCTGTCTGATTGACCTGTCCCTTGGAGAGAGAGGTGTGTTGAAGTCTCCTACTACTAGTGTGTGTGGTTTGATGTCTGCCTTGAGTTCTAGTAATATTTCTTTTACATAAGTAGGTGCTTTTATATTGGGGGCGTATATATTCAGGATTGAGACCTCCTCCTGATGAATTGTTCCTGTTATGAGTATAAAGTGACCGTCTCGGTCTCTTCTGATTGATTTTAGTTTGAAGTCAGTTTTGTTAGAAATTAGTATGGCCACACCTGCTTTTTTCTTAGGACCATTTGCTTGAAAGACCTTTTCCCAACCCTTTACTCTGAGTAGGTGCCTGTCTTTGTGGTTGAGATGTGTTTCTTGCAAACAGCAGAATGTTGGATCCTGTTTTCGTATCCAATCTTTTAGCCTGTGCCTTTTTATAGGTGAATTGAGCCCATTAATATTAAGTGATATTAATGACCAGTGGTTGTTTACTCCGGTTATTCTTATTGCTTTTGGTAGTAGAGATTGTGTGTCTCCCTTCTTTGAGATGTGCTCGTGAAGGGTCATTAGATGCCTGGGTTATTGTAGGCAGTGTTGGCAGTGTTGGATTCCTTGGGTTGCGATTTTCCTTCTATTACTTTCTGTAGTGCTGGATTTGTGGCTACGTATTGTTTAAATTTGTTCTTATCCTGGAATGTCTTGTTTTCTCCATTGATAATGAACGATAGCTTGGCTGGGTATAGTAGTTTGGGTTTATCATCCATGGTCTCTTAGCTTCTGCAGAACCTCTATCCAGGACCTTCTGGCTTTCATAGTTTCCATCGAGAAGTCAGGTGTAAGTCTGATCGGTTTACCTTTATAAGTTACTTGCCCTTTTTCTTTTGCAGCTCTTAATATTCTTTCTTTAACCTGTATATTTTGTGTTTTGATTATTATATGGCGAGGAGATGTTTTTCTTTGATCCAGTCTGTTTGGTGTTCTGTATGCTTCTTGAATATTTAAATGAATATCTTTCTTTAAGTTGGGAAAGTTTTCTTCCATAATTTTGTTGAAAATATTTTCTGGGCCTTTGAGCTGTGACTCTTCTCCTTCTTCTATTCCTATTATTCTTAGGTTTGGTTTTTTTATTGTGTCCCATAGTTCCTGAATGTTTTGTGTTGAGAATTTGTTGGCTTTGCTGTTTTCTTTGATCTGTTCGTTTATTTTCTCTATGGTGTCCTCAGCATCTGAGAGTCTTTCTTCTAGCTCTTGTATTCTATTGATTATGCTTGTTTCTGTAGACTCTGCTCGTTGGCCTAGATTTTCCAAATCCAGCTGGTCCTCAGTTTGTATTTTCTTCTTTGCCTTCATTTCAGTTTTCAATTCTTGAACTGTTTCCATTACCTGCTTGATGGTTTTTTCTTGGTTTCCCAGGGTATCATGTACGTATTTACTCATTTCTTCAAACTTTTTGTTATACTTCTCATCCATTTCTATAAGGGCATTTTTTACATGTTGTTTAAGGGACTCTACTATCTTCATAAAGTCGATTTTTTCCACTTCTTCTGTGTTAGGTTGTTCAAATACTTCTGTTGTAAGATCATTGGGTTCTGATGTTTTCATGTTGTTTTTCGGATTATTGGGTGAATTCTTGCCTTGGCGCCTGCCCATTTCCTCCTATTGATCCTATTCAATGGGTCCTTTAAAAACCGGATCAGGTTTCCCTGCTGGCCAAGGGCTCCGCTTACAAAATGCCCTCACTCTCTTTCGTGGTTCCTGCTGCAGGCCAAGAACCCTCTCACCCCTCCGAAGGATCTTCAGGACAGGACCAGGCTCCCCTTGTGCCAGTGACCTGGCCAACCAAAAGCCTACCTCTTTGATTCAATTGTAGTAGGGCGAACTGCTCTCCTTATTGCACGCCTGTCCCTGCCGCTTGGGTCTGCCGCTGTGCTGGTCCCCGAAAGCCTCTTCCTGTATGTGGTGTTGCTCTGCCGCGTCTGGCCGCCGCGCCGCTCCGCCGCTCCGCCGCGTCTGGCCGCCGCGCCGCTCCGCCTCTCGCTACTACATTTCTTATCTACATTCTACCACTTGGCAGTACCTTTTTTTCAGCGCAGAATGCTCATCTTGCTTCTCGTGTAACCTCTACCTGCCCAACTATTGGCCAGTCAGCTCTTTATTAACCAGTGAGAATAATACATATTTACAGTGTACAAAAAAAGATTGTTCCACAGCAGCTTTTTTTTATTATTTTTCTTTTTTTTTTTTTTTTTGCTTTGAAAAATATTTTGTGAGTACCAATTTCAGATTAGCACATCTCTGGAACAGGTACTGGGTTGCTTATAGACGATTCCAGGACCACACAACATAGTCCCAGCCCCAAGAAGTACTGCATCCCATAGTGGATAAGTGAGATACGGCCACCACTATAACATAAGATGGGAAATTATCACATGTAACACAGTTTGAGAGCTGTTGAGTGCTTTCCAGAAGATGGTGCCGTTCCAGGATGGAGAGGTTGGGGTGTGCGGGGAGAAAAGGGCTGTGTGGGTAGCTGTGTTTGGGGAATGCCTTAGTTAGGGTTCTGCTGCCGTGATAAACACCATGACCCAAAAGCATCCTGGGGAGGAGAGAATTTGTTTCGCTTTACAGTTTACAGCCCACAGTGAGGGGAGGGCAGGGCAGGAGCCTGGGGTAGGAACTGGAGCTGACGGCCATGGAGTGCTGCTCGCTGGCTTGTTCCTCCTGATTTTCTCAGATTGCTTGCTTATATAACCAAGACCACCTGTGGGAGTGCTCACATCAATCATTAATCAATAAAATGCCCCACAGACTTGTCCATAGGCCAATTGATCTGATTGCAGTGTTTCCTTAGTTGAGGTTCCCTCTTCCCAGATGACTTAACTTATATCAACTTGAGAAAACCTAACACAGGGTCACTACTGAGAGTGAGTGAGAGGAGGACCTTGTTGGGATGTGAGTAGGTGAATACTTGTGGCCAGCAGAGTCAGCTAGGAGCGGGTGGCTGAAGCCTAGAGTCACGGTCAGGAGTTGGCTCTTCATTCTGTAACATGAAGGGTGGCAGGCCTCATTGCTAGAACATGGTAAGCGGTCTGTAGTGGACACTGAGCCACTGCACTTCATTAGTGGTGGTCACCCCAGGAGGCAGGGAGGCAGGGCGCGAATACTCTTGCCAGGCAGTCTGTGGACAGTGTACCTGTAGGTTGACCTGGGCTTCGCAGGTCTTTGAGTCCTGGCTCCCACATTCATTTAGTTGGGTAATTAGGGGAAGTGAGCAGACCACTTTGTATTTTAGTTTCCTGCTTTACAATATGTGAGTAATGATCAAGTATTTCATATGACTAGGATAATTTTACCTTCATTTTATTTTCTTATTTTGTTTATTTTTCCAAACAGGATTTTTCTCTGTAGCTCTGACTGTCCTGGAATTTTCTTTGTAGACCAGGCTGGCACAGAGATCTGCCTGCCTCTGCTCTCCAGTGCTGGGAATAAAGGTGAAGGCATGTGCTACCACTGCTGGGCCGACATTACATTTCTATTGCTGTGATAAAACAGTGTGACCAAGGCAATTTAGAAGAAAGGGTTTATTTATGGCTAATGGCTTATGGTTCCACAGTGATAAGTCCACAATGAGGGAGGAGAGCTAACGGGTAGAGGCGGGTGGAGCAGGACCGGAGAGCTCAGCTGCAGATGGGAAGCAGAGAGTACACTGGAAATGGCACGTAGCTTCCGAAGCCTCAAAGCATCTCATTCACACCACACATACAGAGTGTTCTGTGGCTGGTTGGCCTCGGGCAGTCACTCAGTCACCGTGCCGAGTCGGGACATTGCAAAGCTGAGACTGAAGTAGACTAGATGGCATTGGTTACAGGGGCGTGGGAGTGGCGAGTAGGGGAGACACCCAGGTTGATTGTGAAGAGCTGAGCCAGTGTGGAGGCCATGGGAGCCTGGTGGGTGGACTGTCAACTTAGGAACAATCTGAGTTTCTGGAAGTGGGGCTACGTTGATCCACAGTGCTGGAGAGGTTTCTGTCCCTCGGAGAGCAGAGCCAGTTTGGGGGGTGTGGCTCTGAGGGAAAGAACACTGTTGGGCAGTGTCTGTGCGCTGATCCTCCTTGCTGCTTTGGCAGGTGCCCCGCACCTCAGAGATTTATATCCACCGGAGTGGTCGGACTGCCCGTGCTACCAGTGAAGGCCTCAGCTTGATGCTGATTGGGCCCGAGGATGTGATGAACTTCAAGAAGATTTACAAAACTCTGAAGAAAGATGAGGACATCCCACTGTTCCCAGTGCAGTCAAAGTACATGGATGTGGTCAAGGTAAAGCGGTTAGCCAGCCGCCCCCCCCCCCCCCCCCCCCCGCACAGAGCGCCTTGCTCTGAGACCAGAAGCCTTACCCTAGAGAACTGAGAAGTGGTTCTGCTTATGGCTGGATGGTGGCTTTTGTAAAAAGGCTGGGAGAAAGGCAGAAAAGGGTTGTGGTGATATTTTTCTGTGCTTTAACAAATAAAGCTTGCCTGAAGATCAGAGTTTGGAGCTAGCCACTAGTTAGCCATAGAGGCCAGGCAGTGGTGGTACATATCTTTAATCCCAGCACTTGGGAGGCAGAGGCAAGACAGATCTCTGTGACTTCAAGGCCAGCCTGGGCTACACAAGATAGAATCAGTCTTAGAGAGAAACAGAGCCAGGCAGTGATGGCTCACACCTTTAATCCCCAGCACTAGGAAAGTGGAGACAGGAAGGGATACAGCTGGGTGGATAGAGGGATATAAAGCGGGAAGAGATAGGAGGCATAGCATTCAGTCTCAGTCTGAGGATTCCTGGAGACAGGATCACCCGTTCGGTCTGAGGATTCGGTAGTGGTTAAGAACTAGGGGCTGGCTGCTCCGCTTCTCTGATCTTTCAGCATTTACCCCTTTATCTGACTCGGGGTTCTTATTATTGAAGACCAATTAGAATTCGTGCTACATTTTCTCCCCCTGTCCACTTTGGTGTCTGATCTTGAAGTCTCCACTGCTTCCACTCCAACTAGACAATGCAGTGAGTCAATCTGTCAGAGAGCTGTGTACAGCAAGGTAGATGCTGAAGGTCTGGTGTACTCCTGTAGCAGAGACAGTAAGGCTTGCTTTCTCTATCTCTATTCACTGTGAAGGTGTGCCCTAGGTCACAGTGTAGCAGACTAATAGAGGATATTTTCCCCAGAGGCTCACCAGTGTGTGTCTAGGCCCACAGCACAGTGAGGTTTCCGTGGATCCCTGAGGCTAGCAGGCATGTGGTTCTGATGTGGGGAGAACTTTCATCTTTCAGAAGAAGGGGTGGAGTTTCAGCCATTGAGGAAGTAGAAACAAGGGGCAGTTGGAGGGCCTGTGGCCACCTGGCATGGAAGGTTTGTTGGTCGTGTGAGGATTTGTGATGGGGCTGGTGGGAGGTGGGAAGGAACACAGAATTCCTATTGAGCCTGGGAGCACCCCGTTTTCATGGCTTGTTATCCTCACTGCACGTGATCTCCCATGTCAGGTGAAGGGGGCATTATATCACTGCATTCTGACCCCAAAGCCATGAGAAGAATTGGGGAGACCAAATGTGACTCCTGGGGAGACTAGTTCAGTCTGGCCACCCTTAAGTTGGCAGCCTGGGACAGTCCTCTGTGAGGCACAAGCAGGCTTTCGTGGTTGTGTGGGTAATGATGACCAGGTGTTGGCAGGAGCCCAGGCAAAGGGTTTCAGTGGGATCTGAGTTAGCCTCACTGCTCAAAGAGCAGTTTAGGACAGTTTCAGTGAAGCTCTGCTTGCTGAGAGGCCTGGGCCCTCTGTCAGATGGGAATTTTGTGCTCATGTCTCCTCAGGAGCGGATCCGTCTAGCCCGGCAGATTGAAAAGGCTGAGTACCGGAACTTCCAGGCTTGTCTGCACAACTCCTGGATTGAGGAGGCGGCGGCAGCCCTCGAGATTGAGCTGGAAGAAGACATGTACAAAGGTGCGCCCAGGCTGGGTGGGAATGGGAGCACAGCACTGGATTTCTCTTAACTTGCACGTGGTTGGAACCATCGTCACTTCTGTGACCCATGAGAAACAGCAGTGTGCCCTTTTCTTGTCTCATGCCTACTCATCCCGTGTGGGCCTGCCCTCGACCTTTCCTATGTGTCTGATTCTGTCTCATATGGACAGCCCCTGGAGTCTCCGACCAGGAGCAGACACAAGCAGGATGTCCTTGTTCATGCAGCCTGATCTCTTACTGTGTTAGCCTCTTTGTATGCCTCTTTCTTCTTCTATAAGACAGGTCTCCTAGCTTAAGATTGAGTAAAGGGGGCAAACTGGGTACAGGTGTGCTCAAAAAACAGGTTCAGGAAACTGTTAAGTCATTATTTATCGTTGTAGTTAGTACTGCACCTGCCTTCCAAGGCAGCAAAGCACCTCCATATCTCCCTTAACACCCAGCCTCTTGGCATGAATCGAGTGGGAACTGTGTTCTTTTACATGCAGGGGAAGGCTCCCAAAGAGAAGGAATCTGTACATTAGAACAGCTCTGTCACCAGGCATTACCTAAGCCCTCTTCTGTCTTTGGGCCAGAAGCCGAGGAAGGGACCAGGCTGTACGGCCTTGCGTAGGGAAGCTGAGAACTACATCTGGGGCTCATGACAGCGGTTGTGCTCCTTCTACAGAGCAGCTCAGCTCAGCTGGGGTGTTGGCTTCTCTGCCCAGCCATCAAGTTGAGAGGCAGACTGTTCTCGGTGTGGGAGCCAGGAGTTTGCCAACAGTGCGTTCCTCCTTGAGGCTCTGGCCTAGGGCTCAAACAGAGCTGTGAATCCCTGGCTTTCCTTCTTGACAACCAGGCTTGCTTGGGTGGGGACTTGGGCTTCGTCCACCTCAGTGTGCAGTTACAGCATTGGTTGGGGAGGTACTGAAGAATCAGGCTGCAGAGAAGTGTTTACTCTCTTCTGAGGAGTGTGTGGTTGCCATACTTGGTGGTAGTGTGTAGCTGCAGTGGTAGAGCAGCAGACTTCAGTCAGATGTGAGCTCCGATCTCTGACGGTTTGCTCTGCACCAGTGATGTGACTCCTAAGCCCGAGTTGCCTTCTCTGTAAATTGAGGACTTTCTGTCTTTACTGGCCCTGAACAGTGATGCATGGTGGCCCATTGCATCCCTCCTAAACAGAAGTTCCCCTTCTGGTTCTCAACTTAAAGCACCACAGCTTATGTTAGTCTAAAGAAAGTGTTTTTGCATAAACATGATGTTATATTTGTGTCTCTCAAGGAGGAAAAGCCGACCAGCAGGAAGAGCGTCGGCGACAGAAGCAGATGAAGATCCTGAAGCAGGAGCTACGCCATCTGCTCTCCCAGCCACTCTTCCAGGAGAACCTGAAGACCAGGTACCCCACACAGTCTGGCAGGCCGCCTCAGCTTGTGGTGGCCCCCAGGAATGGCGAGTCTGCGCTGAGCTGCCTCTCCAGACAGAAGAGGAGGAGGAGGAAGCCAAAAGAGCATCGGGCACCGCCACAGCCAAGTTCGAGCACAAGCTAACTGCCCCCAGAGTGGTGACCGCTTAGTGGTACCTCTCCTCTAGCTGTCTGTGAAAGCCTTCCTAGCCTGCGCTTCACTCCGCCATCCACCCGGGAAAATGTCTCACTCTTCCATCTTTTAGCCAAAAAGATCTCGTGCACACGTGTGTTGTGGAGTAAGTGTAGTAGCCAGCAGCTGTGTCTCTGCATCCAGTTTATGCAGGCTTTTCTTGTGTACACCTTGGTTTCCCAATTAAAAAAAAAAACAAGTGGGAGCAGAGAATTGCCCTGAGGGTACTGCAGTGTTTTATCATTAACTCTGAGATTCCCTTGGGCCAGCCCAGCACTGTCCCTTCATAGGGGAAATGGTGTCACTGTATCACACACTGCCAGGTCTTCAGCCTATGTCCCTGTCCTTTTCCATAGTAGTTTAATACCAGCTCCTTTTCTGTGCCTACTCTCTGCTGTCTTATCTAAGCCACCCTGGAAGGTGGACAGGGAAGAGCTTGCTGTCCCTTGGACCGCCCTCAGCTCATAAGGGTATCAGTCACTAATCTGTAGGGTCAAGAGAGACCACGGGATCTGGCCCAAGCTCCTGGTCACGATTCCATGGATTGTCTTTGTCTTAGACTTTTTGTAAAACAGATGACTCAGCCTGAATTGTCATGTGTCATTCCTGGTGTATGATGTGTTCTTTATGAGGAACTCAGTGCTCTGGGCTGCTTGCCTCACAGTGCTGGCCATAGTTGAGCTGGCATCATGGCCTAGTGTAAACACACTGTGGAACAGTGACGCCTGCTGCCCAGCCCCTGGTCAGTCTGGCTGCACAGCCTGGACTTTGAGACAGATGTTCACAGGCATGGTTCAGATGTTTGGCTTGAGGAGTCTGGATTTTAGTACACAGGCATGCCTAAATATCCTAATATGTAAGAAACACAGTCTCCTTTATCTCGTAGCAAGGTTGAGAGGTAGCCATGGGGACTCCCTTTTAGCCTTGAGCCTAAACTCAGATTTTGATGTCACTGTTGACTGATTGCCTGGCATTAAGATACCTTTTAACCCCTGAACTAATAGAGAGAGATTGAGCCCAGGGCCTCATGTGCTATGCAAGTACTGGGTTATCTGAACCATATATATGTACGATGTGATGGAGGATGGGGGCTGCTCACCCATGGAGATAATTGGTTCTGGGGATCTTGCTCAGGTTGTTAGGCTTGGATGGTGAGTGCTTGTATCCATTGAGCCTTCTGCTGACTACTTCTTAGTTTGGATTGTCTCATTGTCTAGGCAAGCCATGAACTGGGAACCCGCTTGCCCCAGCATCTTCACAAGCAAGGATTATAGGACTGTACTAGTCATAGCTATTAGATACTTATTGATTTAAATTCTCATTTGGTAGTCTGAGATCATGGTATATCTTAATACCTTTTTTTTCTGTAGTTGAGAAAGTGAACCTTTAGTGGTTAAGATTTAGCCATCCACCCAGCAACCAGATGAGATGTTGGTAACCTGGGGCATCTTCTGTCTGAGTGAGTTTTACTGTTCTGATGTTAGAGACACAGCAACACCTCCAGGTAGGTGCCCTTCCCGTAACCCTACTGTCTACTGACCTGTCTGGGGGGACAAAGCAAACATCAAGAGATGGCCTAGGAGCCTTCACTTTCCAAATGATGCTGTGAGATGTCTGTGGTGTTGATAAGCAGGCTCAGGCCCCACCCGCACACACTTGATAAGATAGGGCCAGTGTTCCAAGCCCATCTGTGTCCACTAGTACAGGCTTTGGTCAAGTCTGTACACAGCTTCCCACACCCCTCCAGCGTGGTCCACTCACCAGTGGCCTGTGGGAAGATGGTGGTGTTCATTATGTAACTAGTATCTAACATTAAGAAGCCAGTCTGAAAGATAGAAATTGTTTTAATGCTACGAATGACGTTTTCGTCTAAAGGAAGCTGAAGGGCTTGGCCTTGGGCACTCACTGAACCCCAAGCTCCGCTGTCCTAGGTCAGCTGTATACTTGGCTCTTAGACCTGTTGCACTGCTCCCCTATGGCTCATACTTTGGGAAGCCACTCACTTCTGAGGCATGTTTCTCTGCTTCCAGAGCTCAGCGGTGAAATGGCTCGGGCAAGGTCGCACAGTTGAGAATTGCACTTGGGCAGCTGAGCCTAGCAGTTTCTCCTATTGTAGGAAGACAGCCAGAGCAGGCACACTGCTCTGTTATTGCCTCTACTAGTTGTTGCCTCTGGGAAAGTGAGGGACACACAAGTATTTGCAAAGATGACCTCTTACAGCACCTGTGCTTCCATTGTTTTGTCTAGAAAGAGGTGGCCGTAGGTATGCTGGCATGACCTGTTGCTGTAGCCTAGTTAGGAACTGCTGTGGGCAACCAGGTTTTAGCATGTTCTCTAGTCTCCCCATTGCCCTGTTCTTAGACTCATCTGAACTCGCTGGAGCAGCCCAGGCAGGCATTCTGTGTTCAGACCATTCAGCTGGGAAGTGAAGAATAGTCTGGCTGAAGAAAGACACGGAAATGGGGCCCTGCTCTTCTGGGGTACTTGTCATAGACCCCAACGCTCATACCCAGATCAGGGCAGGACACTTAACAAATCAAAAGGCGAAGGCCAGATTTACACTCCTGTGCCAGTGACAGACTCACTTAGCTGGAGCCCTTGGATCTAAATGTTGGCCTTGGTTCCCACACTGCCCAGACAGCTGGGTCCTTTTGACTTACACCAAGCAAAAGATAGATCCGAGATTTGTGTAAGACTCAGGATCCTTCTGGTCTTGTGTGCAGACTCTCGCAGACCCTCACCAGCAGCCTCAATCCCTGCAGAAGCTTTGCACCCAAGGAAGGGTACCAGTGGGTGGTTCCATGGCTGTCCTACAGGAGGCATGGCTAGCTAGTGCCTCAGCCCAGCTGGAGGCTGACTTTCCCACAGTGTCCTCAGGGGCACTGCTGAAGGTCTTGAGGCAGCAAATGAGTAAAGGGGGCTATTAAGGGGCACGTGTAGAGAGAGGAAGAGGCTGCTGCCAGCACCGGAAACGCCCTTGCCACCAATGGCTTGTGTGTTGTTTCCTGCCTCGCTGCCTCCAAAGCCAGGCCAGGGAAACTGAGGAGCCTTGCGCTGCCGTTGTTTCCATGGCCACACCCTACCCAGCTGACTTACCTAAGGCGCTTCTAGAATTGACTGGGGATGATGGGCAGCTGCAGCTCCCCGGGCCCAGACATGAACACACTGACTCGGGTACAGGCCTTTATCTTTGTCAAGCCTTATCCAGGTGGCATTGAAGGTAGAACCCTGAAGGGCCTGTCCCCCAAAGTCAGGAGTTCTGGTCCTAAGGTAGAAGGACCTCACAACCTGAGTTTCATGCTGAAGGCTAAAGTCCTTTTCTGGACTTTGGTATAAAAAGTCTCTCTCTCCTCTCTCCTCTCCTCTCCTCTCCTCTCCTCTCCTCTCCTCTCCTCTCCTCTCCTCTCCTCTCCTCTCCTCTCCTCTCTCTCTTCTCTCTCTCTCTCTCTCTCTCTCTCTCTCTCTCTCTCTCATGCATGGGAAAGCAAGCCACCATGAATGAACTACACATTCAGACAGTTGTCTACCATTACCCACCCAACACAGGTTCACAGGTCCGGTAAGTCACCTGCATGTAGCAGCCGACCTGAGCTTTTCTTCCCTATGAAGGCCACTGCCCCTGGTGAGGACTAACCATAGATCCCCATTTTCACACAACATCACATCAACACTGCCAGGAACCTCTTCCCGATAAATAAATAGGTCCAACGAGGTTCTTACAGTAAACGGATACATAGACAGGGTTCCTGGCTTTCCGGTCCAGAGTTAGCAGGCATTACATTATCTATCAAAATAAATACTAAAATTCCTATTAAGTCATGACAGTCCATAGTGGGCACAAGTCTCAGTTCAGTGGCTTTACCCAAAAGGCTGTACGTTTCCTAGTTGTCTAAATCAATTAAAAAATCGCCAAGTCAGAAGGTTCCATTTAGAATGCAGTCCATTAGATGACAGGCTCCGGCATGGCCTAAAATCAGTGTTTTTCGGCTGCATACAGGATGTTGTAGTGGGATGTTTTATAGAGCAGATAAACGGAAGGTATGGCAGCCTCGGGGAACACGTGGTGGTTCAGAGCGGTGTCCATCTCGTCCACATACTCCACCTGCAGAGCGATGTTCAGTGCCTGCGACAGAGCTGTGATCTGGACGTGGTCACACTCCATGGCCATGGGCTCCACTTCCTGCATGGCCAAAATTAGACAGTTAGGGAGGCGGGGAGGGGGGCGGCGGTGAATGCAGCCCTGGCTTTCAGGATCATGGCCACCTGTGCTGCAGGGCAGGGAGGGTGCTCTTTTCAAGCACGAGGGCACAGGTGCTGACACCCGCCTGTCACGGAAGCAACACAGCCATAGGACACTGGGCTTGCAGAAAAGGAACCCGAACCATTTTTATTTCAGACCCTTAAGGATTGTGCAAAAGTGGAGGAATCTTTCAGGCTAGCATCGAAACTTAGAACTAAAAGGACCTTGCCACCAAAGGCTTCTAAGTACAAGCGCTTGCAGAGGCCAGAACCTGTGGATGAGTCCTGATGCTGCAGAGACAATAGAGAGGCAGAGATGGTGCCAGGCACCCCAAAGAGAGCGGCTGCTCTTGTGCCTACTGGTAGTCGCCATCCAACTTAGAGCCCAGTACCTCCTAATTAAAAAATTCCGGAGGGCCTTATGAAAATTGTCCACGGTTTACATGCAGGCCATATAAATACATCTTCAGATAAATGCATCTAAATGAAAGCCCGTCTTTGGGCTAATGTGGCAGGAGCTGCAACCCTGCAGTTTATCAGCAGAGCCGTCCCAAGTCCTAAGATTCCCTGGGACTGCAAGCGGCTTGCTCAAGTGGCTCAGGCCACTCACAACAAGGTCTCCATGTACTAACTTCACTAGTTGGCATTGCAAGTACGTTCCTCTGGGCAGAAACACTGGTTCTGGGATGTGGAAGAGACAGGCAGACAAAGCCCAGGCTGGGGGTTACATCCCCGAGGAGGATGCTAGGGACCTACGTGAGTGCAGAAGTCTTTGATGTCCATCTCCTCGTCTATGAAATGCCGGAAGAAGTCAGCTCGGTTCCGGATGAAGGCTGATGTGAGCAGGCGCAGGAACTGCACGATCTGGTCTGAGGAGCTCTGGTCGTTGAACACCTTCAGCAGGCTGGACACTGAGCTGTCCTTCTCTACCAGCTCGACCACACTGTAAAACTTCACGCTGCCACCATCAGAGTAGACCCTAGCAGGCACCTGCCCCCCACACCCTATGGGACCCCCCCTCAGAGCTCATTTTGAGATTGCAAGTGAGATTGCAAAAGTTAAAGCCCAGAGGCACATCTAGGGATCTGTCTTTCCACCATGTCCTTCCACCATACTTTCAGAATGGCAGGAGGCTGGCCATCCTCCAAACCGAGGTCCCCTGGGCCCACATATCACCACAAACAGTACATAACTGCCCTGCCCCTGGCCCAGGTGGGAGGATTAAGAAAAAGCTGCACAGCTGTGGGTGGGCCGAGGACCTCCAGCCTGTCTGCTCCTGTCTGCTCTGCCCATGTGGGAGGCCAGTGTGGCTCAGGTGAACTCACAGCGTTAAAGGGGTTTCTGAACTTGTGTTCCTCAAAGCCGGCAGCCAGGAGGTCATTTGGAGTTTGTAGCACACGCTCTTTAAACCTAGAGGGGAGGAGACCTGAGGTTTACCTGATGGTCACGGAGAACACAGGCTGTTACTGTGACGGGGAACTGCCCAGTCCACACCAGCCTCACAGAAGTGCCATGCGTTGTTTCTAAAGCGCTCCACATAGCCATGCTGGCCCACTGCCTTCCCTGCTGATGACGACTCCGGTTCACAGATGAAGAAATTGAGGCAATCACAGCATACTCCCTAGATAGGGCAATTCCCTTTCAAAGGCTCCCTATCCCTGTAGTCCCTGTGACGGCTCTTCGTCCACCTGGTCCTGTCCAGCTCTTTCCCTTCTCTCCCCCTCCCTTAAGCTAATGAACTGTTGGAGAACTAGCACCCCGTACTAAGCCCCAAATGGTGTAAAGATACAAGGAAATAAAGCATTCTAAAAGCCTAGAATGGGGCTGGGGAGATGGCTCAGAGTTAAGAACACACTCTTGCGGACATCCTGGTTTGAGTCCCAGTACAAGTTCATAATGGTAACTCCAGTTCCAGAAGATCCAATGTCCTCTTCTGACCTTTTCTGGGCCGAAGACACATGGAGGACACACACACAATAAAATGAATAAATCTAATTTTAAAAATAAAAGGACACTCAACACTCAGTTTCCTATTTAGTTCTCACTGTACTTCTAAGTGGCTGGGGACTGTTGGAGGTGAGAACTCCGTGGACCCCAGCATGCACTTCCATCCCTCAGACCTCTGCTCTGGCTACTCATGTGGGGTGGATGGAAACCAGTCCTAACACCAGCGTGCTCCCAATCATGTCAGGCCACACTGCCCCTAACCCCAGCCCCACGGCTTCTGTTCCCACACGGATGCACAGGGTCACAGTGAGGAGTCTGTCCTCGCTACTGCTCTTCATTACCCTCTGGAGCAGCCTGGCACTGGGCTGTACTCGCTATCCGGATATAGAGCCAGCAAGATGGCTAGGTAAACGCGGCTGCCCATCAGTGGAGTGAAGGAAAGAGAAGGCCATGTGCCTTCATTGTCA